GTCTCAGAAATAGTGAACAAATCAGGCGATATCTTTAAAAAAAAAGCTATCCAAAAGTATGGGTTTTTTGCCAGAGTCGATTCCAAGATATCTGCAAATCAACTCACTCCAAATCAACCAACGTCGACCCCCATACTAAATCCATAAAACGCGATACGGCTCTCTATTTTTAACGTCGCGCCGAAAGCGCGCGAAAACTTCCCGCGAGCGATCGAGCACAATTGCAGTGCGTCCTTGAAGCGGCCGGTTCCAGTCCAGCCTCGCGGGCCAATCAATGCCCGCTAACGTTGCGCAAAACGGTCGCACACGACGCCGATAGCGGTCCGCGAATTCCGCGCGCTACTTTAGTGATGCCGAAAGTGAAGAAATATATCGATATTTTCTTTTAAGGCCCGGTTGTCCAAAAAAATATAAGCCAAGTAGTAATCTAGATGATAAAGTTGATGACTCCGTGGCGCAGTTGCGAAGGTATTGGCTTCGTCGTCGGAGGTCGTGGGTTCGATCCACACACTGGAAAGCACAGGATAATGTTATCCTAAAGTAAGGGCAATGTTTAAAAAAAAAAAAACATTTCAATGTACGGACTCTGCCCCGGATTCGAATTTGATAAAAAAATCGTTTTTGATACGATTTCGATATAGAATATTTTATATCGATAAATCAGATCAAAATACATCGGCTAAAAATAAAAAATATCGATAAATTGATACTTTTTCGGCATCCCTACGTTACTTATAACGCGTTACGCGCTCTCCGCGTTTCGGCACGCGGCGTGCGCATACGCCCTTGACAGCCGCGAATCGATACCATGCCGTGCGCTACCGACAACGGTGACAACGCATCTCTTATAGATAGCGACGACTGCCTATACCTTTCGTCTCGCAGCTCAAAGTCAATTGAAGGTCAAACGGAATGCACTTGTCGAGTCTCATTGATGACTCTTTCAAGTTTGCATTTGGAAAATGAACTTAATGCTCGCGATATGCGTATTGGAGAAGCGAGGTTAAATTGATAGTTACATAATTCAAGATTGCATTTCGAAAATTAAGAAATTTGACGCGTTAAGGCCCATTTACACGATGCCATTTTCTTGTACATACAAGAGCAATAATTGAATGCAAAAATTGCGCGCAATAATTGTTTAGACCATTTGTTGTTTAGACCATGCAACTCATTTATTGCTTCAATTTAATTGTATACAACAGGCAAGAAACTGGCACCATGTAAATGGGCCTTTATGCGGTTACTGACAACTCTATGCGAGGTTGCTATATTAAATTACAATCTTGCACACTTACGACATTGAAAAAACTAAAAACAAACATATTTAAAGTATAAAAACAACAGGGTTTGTCTGCGGGGGGATGCAAATCAAGTGAAAACGAACTTCAAAATTAACTCGAATAATGCATAAACTATAGCCGATAAGAAATGCAACCAAGCAGCTATGATTTATTGATAGTGACCAATTATCCATACGTCAATTTCCTGACCTCTTAAGACGGAGCCCTACTACTATTAACATTACAATTGCATTGAATATTGCTTAATTGCAATTAAGAACCCTCGGCGAAATTATCGTAAATATCAGAACGATTGTGAATTGAAATCCCTCGCATGCTACGTTTGCTAATATTTGCAATTGCAATATGGAACGTCTGGACGTGGCCGCCATTTTAGAATTTCGAATTTGGAATTTAGTATTTTTTTAAATGTGCACTGTTGTTTTACAGTGTTAGTTTTACTATCAATGCCACGGAAAAAAACATTTTTCGATTCTTAGAACAGCTACAATCGTGGTAAGCGGGCAGCGATTATCCATTATCTACGTCACTTCGCGTTAACTGGCTGGCTAAACGGTCTCATTGTCACACTATCCATTCAGATGGTCCGTCTCTGGGTACTGCGCAGGAGTAGAATACAATAACGAGTCGATAATTGGAACGAAAACGTACAAAGTACACACGGCTTCGAAGATACTCGATAATTGAAAGTAAAATAGTACACATAATTTGAGTAATTAGTATAGTTGACGTGCTCTTGTACCTAAAATTTATCATTTGTGTACCAAAGGCGATAGTAGGTAGAAATAAAATTACAGCCTATATATGTCCCTCTGCTGAGTAACGGCCTCCCATGTATGGTACTCGTCGGTTAATAGGGCATAGCCCCTCCGCAACTCAACAGCGGATTGGCGTAGTTATTTTTAGACTTTTCGACGCATCCCCAACTCTACGAGTGCTAAGATTGTCTATTGGTGACGATAGTCACTTAAAATCATATCTATCTGTTCATTTGTTAACTCCTCTTAAAAAATAAATGGCATGTCCCAGCAACGGTTAGCAAATTTAATCTATAGAAGAACTGGCACTTGCAAAATTATGTTAGTGTATTTTCGTAAACAAACGTAACATTTGAAAATAGAATTATGAATTAATGTTTTATTGTAGTGGTGTTGAAAAAAATGTAACTAGGAATATTCGCAAAATCGCGATGACACACGGTGACAAATCTATATTTCATACTATCATAATCTACTATCGTAAACTTAAATAAATACTTACATAATATAAGAATATTACGACATATTTAATTTAGTGGAAAATTTATAAGTTTTCCAAATCCGTTGTTATTGTAAGAGGCAAATCGCGCTTGCACTTCGGCTGCACTATTTCGAGAGAGAGTTACGTTGAAACCAAAATAAATTGATCACTTTACGGTCAAAATGTAAACAGCCGTAATACGTTCCGTGCGAATTATTTTCAGATGTCTAAATAGTAAAAAATTAATAGTGCTTTTGTTGAGTAAATAAATCCAGATGCAGATGAAAAAAGAAATATTAATATTTCGGAATACCTTTTTTTCTAGATTTCATATTTGCTTTTCACATTACGAATAGTAGGTACCTAGTAAAATGTTTTAATATTCTCCTCAAAGGCGGTAACAATTAAGGCCCATTTACACGATGCCATTTTCTTGTACATACAAGAGCAATAATTGAATGCAATAAATTGCGCGCAATAATCGTTTAGACCATTTGTTGTTTAGACCATGCAACTCATTTATTGCTTCAATTTAATTGTATACAACAGGCAAGAAACTGGCATCATGTAAATGGGCCTTTAGAAAATCATTGGTTCAATCAAGTTTTTAAGGTAGAGAACTTCGGAGAATAAATGTAGGCTGCTTTGATAGCTCCAATATTTAGCGGGGTCACGCAGCGGTTATCCCATTCGATTTTTCTACACTGGTGGGACAAGTATGTAGTAAGATCCACCAAAATTACATACCGATTTTATGCGTAATTAGACAAGGTTAAACGCACATATATCCTAAAAAAATTGGCGACTAATTCCCAAAATCCTGTATTATACTATATGTAAAGACTTTTTGGTCTATTTAAAGGATATTCTTCTACATTTTATTAGTGGTAGACCCCTAAGTAACTGTCTATCGTTGTGCGAATGGAGAATATACTTTGGTTAAGTACAGAAGACTGTGTTATTCTTTTACATGTAATCTTTTGAGTGAGGTAACATGGACCCACTCTCTTTAAATGCTGACAATGCATAACCCAAGTCACAAGGTGGATTTGTCGCCCATGGACCACCTTTGCACAATTTAAAAATATGTCCTAACTGTATCAGTAGCTTTGTTATATAAAGTTTCAGAAATTTCGTTTAAAAACAATTTACGAGATCGACTTTCGAATTCCTTTCCAAATATAACATTCAATTATTCGAAAAAAGCTTGATAATGTTTCGAAAGCGACAGTGGGCTATAAAAGGGAAGCATTTTTTGCATGCAGTTGCAAAGGCGAATCGCTCGCAAATTTTTCGCACGACTGCATGCCGATGTCATGACGTTGCGTCACCGGTGCGGAATTTTCGGCGGCAAAGAGATTTTTCTTTATTGCCAAACTTTATGACTTTTTTAATTACAAACAACTACGTACAGCATCTAGTCCATTTTAAATGCTAGCATCAAATATACCAATCCAGTAATTATAGATCCAACAGCATGTCTAAAAATCAACAAAAGATACCGATAACTACTAATACCAGTAGAATTAGGCAGAGTACTTCACACGTAAAAGTTTCACAAAGTAAAATGCCGGCTTCTTTATCAATACCACGCGTATATACGTCCATTTTATATAGCAGCGCCCTGCGTAAAGTTTGGAAGAAATCACTTTTTCATGATTAGTTATTGGTAAGAAATTGGCGAGATGCCAACCATCGGCTAAGGCGGAGCGTATTATTGGCAACGTGCCATGCACTGCGAGACAGTTCCCATAAGATAAATCGTGATCATTCAGAAACATCGTCTACCGAATCTACGTATGTGGGTACAGTCACGTGCAGAAAAATGTACAGCTGTTCCTTGCAGGGACACCCATTGAGTCTTATTTTGTTTGCCTGCACGTATTACTCATTGTTGATGGAACGGGGGTCTTCTTGTCAACTGCCACTGCGCGCCGTGTGGTGGCTTCTATATCCACTTGCGTAAATTTCAAATAGTACGAATGAAGGCTTACTTTTTGATTTTCACATTTATTAAGCCGCCAAGAATTATTTTATTATTATAGGAGTCGGATTTTTCGATCATTTTCAGTGTTATCAAATAAATTATACTCTTTATATATGTATGGTCCCACTGAAAACCACTATCTCCGTGAACTCATGCTGAGTGGAAGCCTATTTGGTGCATGTACATTGTATTTCTTTTTATTGTAAATATTTTTTGTAAACGATTTATTTATTTACCAAATAAGCTTTTCTTTCTTTCTTTTCTTTACGCGAATATAAAACGGAATAACTTGTTACTGTGAAGAATTTTCTTTCAGGGACAAAATATATGACAAAGTAGAGGTAGGGATCTGGCTACCATATGTACCATATATGAATCGCTGAAAATAAAAATCTACGGTCTAAAAGCCAAAAAGCATCAGCCGAAGTCAGGAACAGTGGGACCTAGGACGTTGTGAAGGCGCTGCCTACCTTAGCTGGGCGCAGTAAAACTGGTGGGGGATGGCCGTGAGCACGCCCGCCCCGTCGCCGGTGTCGTTGTCACAGGCGCAGGCACCACGGTGCTCCATGCGCTTGGCGAGGACCTCGGCATCACGGACGATCTGTGCCGAGACGAAACGATCACTTATTGACTATTCGATGAGGACATTTACTGTGGTCCACGCAACAGTTCCCGTTTCACGAATGGTCAGGTACGGACCTGTAAAATACCACGACCACGAAAATACCGGGTAAGTACCACGACCTCACAGAAGACCGGCGCGAAGTGGAAGTTTATCAGACATCGTCTAAAAAGTAATCCAAAAACATCCATTCGCGTGTAAGAGCTTATACGATTATTGATACAATTTCGGATTTTAGAAGTTGAGACCTAAATGTTGCTGCATGTATTTTAAGAAAAACAATTCTTTACTTCTTTTTTTTATGTGAAAAGTTGCCATGCGAGCACCTGATGTTAAGTGAATACCGCCGCCCATCATCTACTATACCAGAGGGTTCCAGATGCGTTGACAACCTTTTGAAAATTGGGCTCCGGCCGCCTCACTCACCAGACTAAACGCGAAAGTATTATACTTCCACTTTACGCCGGTCTTCTGCGAGGTTGTGGTACTTACCCGGATGAGCCTGCTGCGTGGCCCTACCGCCGTAAAAGGAAACCGGAATAGAAATGTCACACTTCTGAGTTTGTTCTGGTGAATGAGCTAGCCGGGGCCCACTTTACTAAAAGGTGGCAACGCATCTGAAACTCTACGGGTGTTGCAAATGTCAATGAGCGACGGCTATTACTCAACATCAGGTGAACCACCTGCTCGCTTGTCACCTTTTCAAATAAAAAAACGTGGCGAGACCAAAAGATGACTATACAAGTATACACTGGGCACATAAAAATGTGTGTACATTAAACTATCGCAAAGATTTTAGGTCGACCGTGCAGTTTGCTGCGTTCGCACTTTCGTATGCTGGCACCGTCTGTCTGTCTATTTGTGTACATGCATAGGTTTTTTAATTCTAAAACTATAAACTAAATACTTGCACATATTGACATTCGACTTGTATCGTCACGAATACAATACAATCCTCAAATATTTGAACATATTTTAATCGGAATGAAGTGGCGGATATAAATACGGACATAAAAATATATCAGTAATTCAATACAAGTACTGCCAAACTGTTTTTAAAATCTATTAGGCTTTAGGCGGAATTACTTGTTACGAGTTTAAAAATATGTCACTAGTAACTACAGCCCATTTGGCGAAACATTAAGAAAATATTTGAACGAAACAGCCGATCCGAAAATACTTATAAATAAAAAGTATCGATATCTCCATCACTTGTTTTATGCGAGTATAGTATTACCCTCATAAAACTAGTGATGCGACAAAACTGCAATGCTAAGTCATCAAAATCAATCGATCGATGTCAAACGAATGGCGAGGGGTCAACTGACCTTATGGCTGCGCTTGCCGTCGATGGCAACAACAAAACCGACCCCGCAGGCCTCGTGCTCGTTCTGAGGGTCGTACAAGCCTTGCTTGGCCGGCCCTTCCCACTCCATACCTGCAAAACACCATATGACATAAAGCCTCGAACATAGTCCTAGCAATCCTTACTAATATTATAAAGGCGAAAGTTTGTATGTATGGATGGACCTTTGTTACTCTTCCACGCAAATACTACTGAATGAATTTTAATGAAACTTTACAATAATATAGCTTTTACATCAGAATCAGACATAGACTAATGTCTTTCTGCCTAAATGTTACGCTTTCAGCCTATTCTACGGGGCAGCAGCTAGTACATCAATGCAGATTAGGAAATACGGAACGAAAACCGATAAATCAGATATGACATTTTTTCAGGAAATTAAAAAATACTACACATGTCATTGGATTTCCAATTAAGATATGAACACAGTTTACTTGTTTATGGGTATTGGTAAAACACTGTTTTGATATCCAAAACACAGATTTAAATGTGCGGTATATGATGAGAAATTTTAAAAAAACAATATGGATTTATCGGTATTTGTTTAAACGTATTATCATTTTAAATAAAATAAAATTACATTAATTTTATTTACATAATAATAAAAAGCTTAAACTATTTGACACACTCCTGTGTGCTGAACACAGACGCATTCAGAATCAATGTCATGGACATTGTGATCATCTGTTTCATCAACATGTTCCGTGGCAATTTCACTCAGTAAATTTTCATATTATTTACAATACATTGGCCGCAAATAGAGGCAAACCCAATAATATTCAATTGTGTTTCGTTTTCTTGCTATTTTAAAATCCATTGCAATATTATATGTACGAATATTTACCTTCTTCATTATACTATCGTTAATTATTCTTTAACTAGCCGCTGCACGCGACTGCGTAGAATAAGCTGAAGGCGTAACATTCAGACAGAAAGACCGATATACATAGTTTCAAATTTAGTGAGCTCATTACGAAAATCTATAAGGCGATGTTTGTTGGGATTAAGTAACAAGGTCAGAGTGCGTTATCGGATTGCCCTACAAACGTTGGTTGTATCTTGGCTCAATGGAACTACATTATCGCTCAGCAGTAACAAAGTGTTGGAGGGCGATGTTTCGTTCGTTTTAACGAAATTTCACTGGGTTTCGAGAGTGCCGTTATACTACTGGCTAAGTATTAAAAAACTCTCGCCGGTCACTAAACACCAGACTCAACGAGGGTCAGCCATTCCGGCGCGTAGGAAATTCAAAACAGTGAAAATTTTATAATTTACTTCACAAGAATTCGAACCTGCAAGTAAATATCGCAGAGTAAAATTGCCGGGGATCAAAAATAAAAAGATTTAGTCGCATTCAAGATTTTAGTAGTCAATTTCAAGACTATAATTAGACAGACATCTTAGTAACTTTTTTATTCTTTGCCCTAAAAATTAAGCAAAAGTCGGTGTGCCAGACTACGAAACCTCTCGTTATTTGTTTTTACCTAATATGAACTATTTTAGTATAAGGTATCCATCATATTAATATAGTCTATATACGTAGTTATTATATTTATAATACGGCATTGAGTTATATTTATAATGTCGTTTTAAATGAATTATTACGAGTCTGATAAATACATTCAATTTAGTCTTGAGCGATACGTCATAACCTGCAAAGTAAATCTATGTACTGCAAATTACACATCTGTTGCGTAATGGAAACTAAATTGATTTATTAATAAAGATCCGCCTGGACAACACATCAAGTGTTGTGATTTCAAAAAATCTAAAAAGAGGTTTGATATCAGGAATGGTCAACGTATCGATTAGCATCGACCGGTCGGAGATTTTATATCTTAGAAAGTAAAAACTTATTTGTCTATTTAGTACGTGTTAATTATAATTAATAATTCGTTACATATTTGTCAATCCTAATTTTTAAGGCTCGTAGATCTCGTTTAGGAAAATGTTGGCTACCCCTGCAACATACGACGCGAATATTTCATTCGGACTATACCAACTGCGCAATTCACGAGTCTCCTTAAAACGGCCGGGTTCACTAGAGTCAGTCTATTCTAAAATCACGAAACGCGTGAGCGATAACATCTGTGGAAGATTTGCATGCGGTGTCAATGACACTTACGCCCGGTTTCTGAAATCGTAGAAGTTAACTAATCGGCTGTCCAATGGCTTTTCAAATGTTATTTGAGTTGCCAAAAGGATTGTTAAACTCTTTGAATTGATAATTCTGATTGAGATCATTGTGATATGTCTTTTAACTACATCAAAACTTACCAAAAAGGGTTTGTGGTTTGGGATGGCGGGCCAGTTTAATCAGAAAATAATAAATTAACATCATAGTAAATTGTGAAAATAATATGAAGAATTCTTCATTAAATTGCGAGATTACTACGAGTAATTCATCATTTAGTATTAATGTGTGTTAGCATATTCCTTTCAATGAAAGTTTATGGATGCAGGAGGCTCAGGATCATGCTTCATGACAGTCTATGGGGGAGATATACATTCAGCAATGGACTCAAACAAGCTGAAATGATGTCGATTAGTCCGTAACTTTATCTAATAGACTTAATCAAGGCCCAATACTAAAAACCAACCCAACTTTTATTCGAGGTGGGTCAATCCAACATGTAAGATAATCCAAAAATATGTTTATATTTGAATGACATCAGTCATTAGATCATTTTGAATTCCGGAGTAAAAAATAAGATAAATGCACAAAGCTATTTTGCTATAATTTTTGTATCAACTGATTATAATCCATCCTAATCTTCTTGGACAATCAATCAAGTTTGCTTCCTTATATGTTTAAATAAGTCTGTTAATATTCCCAAAGCATATATCAGCTGAATAAAGAATATTTTTTCAAAGGCAAGACTTAAAAATTTAGCACTTTTATAAACTTTTTTGTTATTTATTATAATTTAAATTTTTGTGCAAAGCTAGCGATTCCAACACAAAAAAGAAATAGAGGTGAATATAAAAAGGAATCATTTATGATAGTATGTGAGTGAAGGTTCATTAAATGGTAATTTTAAATAGTACATGTCTTATACAAAGTTATTGAAATAGTTCAAGAATAGACTTATTATATCATTAAAGATATGTTAGTATCACCCACAAGATCTCAGAAAGTTAAAAACTGTTATAAAAAGAAAAATATTTTTTTTTTATAAACAAAAGAACAATAATTGAGTTTGTACTCTAAGAATAGCAGAAGTTTTGTAGCAAAGAATCAAAATAAAATCGAACTATTATGAAAGTATATTTATTAGACTTTAAATAAATCCCCAAGTACATAGATTTAAATGACAAATATGTAAAATATTAAAACGGGATCAAGCTTATAAGAGAATTTCCTGTCCGTACACCATCATAACTACTTAATTTAGATACGGACTACGGTGCTTTTTATGTTAACCTTTTTCTTCAATAGATCTTTTTAAACTATCCATTTACCAATCCACGTATGCAGCAGTATTGCATGCATTGTGGAATACACGTGGAACTCATTGCGTTCAATGGGCTCGATTCTCAGGATAATAAAGAAATAGAAACGAATTCGAAACCTTACCTTAGGGTAAGTTGGTAAAGTTTTTTAACTGTCTGTTAATAAAACCACGTTAAGTTTGCACTTTCACTCTCTTAACGTGTGTTCTTAACTTGGCGAATATGTTATAACTTATGTGAAAGAGAATAAAACTGAAGCACTGGAAATGCCGGCGATTCGTAGTGACCCCTGACAGTCGACTACAAAAGCCGGTGATACGCGATCGACTAACAGACTGATCGAGTATGTGAACAGAAAATGAATGAAACAAAGAATGATCTGACGTTTTAACACCGTGATTGGTGGATATATTATATAGGGTTGCCAAGTTATTTTCAAACGTGTAAACAGAAGGTAATAAATAATAAAATCACGCATCAAACATTCTAACTTAAAACTGGATGATTGAGTATTTTTAATTTTATTCTTTCGATGTGAAAATTCGTGTTATGTAATGAATTTCGAATGATTTTTTTTATGTGAAAAGCTGCCAAACGAGCAGACGGTTCACCTGATGTTAAGTGAATACCGCCGCCCATGGACATATGCCATACCCGATGATTACAGATACAACCTTTTGAAAATTGGGCTCCGGCTACCCCACTCACCAGACGAAACGCGAAAGTTCCACTTTACGCTGGTCTTTTGTGAGGTCGTGGTAATTACCCGGACGGGCATGCCCATTCGTGCAACAGCCGAGGCTGCTGCGTGGCCCCACCACCATTGAAATAAATTTTTTTGAAGGAAATTAATATGTGAACAACAATTTCTTATATTTACGCGATTACACATTATTAATTGAATTAAATATCTGAAATTGTCAGAATTTTATGACCATAAAAGTATTTATAACATTGACAATTGTTAACTAAATGACTGGTTATATAACAAACCTTTAACCTACCCCACACGGCAAGGTATGAAGAACGATGACTGTGTTTTCCTCCTAAATAGTTATGCTTACCTTTTCAGCGAGAAAAAAGTGGTTCTCTTACTTGCCGCATTTATAATTTGAATTTCATTATTATTTCTTAACACAAATATTTTATATACAATACCATTAATTTATGTAATTATTTATTATATGGCAACATTAAAGGATAGCCAAACAAACTTCATTCATTCATTATAAAGGGTGTAATACACTACATTACTTATAATATAATATTTTTACCTGCGCCATTAATCTTTGTTTGTTAAAACTATATTAAATGCAATTATTAATTGCGGTTTAAATAAATAACTTGGAATTATAGGTAAAAATGTTGTAATTGATTACCATGGTAATACCATGAAGTTGATCGCTTTGCAACCAACTGCACAATGTCGCTTTTGGCTTTCGCTGTGTGAGCTCATCATCAAAATTTTACTCTCATATTTTTACAAACGCGTGAAAAGAAGTATAACTTCAAAAACTAAAGATGTCCTTTCCTTTTAAAACTTATTATAAAAACATTTATTTTAATGTTCATATAATATAGTCCTAGTATTGATATGAATTGGTAGGAAATATCATTACTTTAATGAATGAGTGACTAAATATTAAATTTGACCCGCTTTAGTGAATGGTCATCCTAATGCGTTCGCAATCATTTCATTCACAATCTTCATTCAACATCAATCAAGGTACAAAAGTTTTTATTCAGTCTACGGTCATAGCGCGAAAGTGTTGGACGTAGAATCGAATCTTAATAATATTTACGTGAATTATTCCTCATCATAAATAAATTTACAACACTGTCCAGCAAGACATCTACGACCAATAAAATCGTCAGTTGCTTGTGTCACAATTCGTAATTATTGTGTAAAATATATTGAAAGAAGAAGTTTGCGTAAAATAAACGTTCACTTTCGCCGTTTTCTCGTTTCTCCGAACTTTGTTTTCGCATTTATCTCATAAAAATTGAACTTAAGAGCCGCCTAAATATGAGTCTCAGCTGCTTGAGGAACATCGCGAGGTGTACTCCGGTGAAAGTTTCCCCATCGGGCGTGTTTGTTGCGAAACTTCGGGGACCTTGTGCTGGTAGGGAAGTTAGTACGGGCGGCACGCAACACGCCGCCGTTAGCCAACAGAGCACGAAACCCGACTGGAACCGGGCCGTCAGCGAGGCCGAGAAGATAGTCGGCTATCCGACCTCGTTCCTCAGCCTGCGGTGGGTGCTCAGCGACGAAATAGCGAACGTAGCGCTCCATCTCAGGAAACTGGTCGGCAGCAACCATCCTCTGCTGAAGACCGCCAAGTAAGTTGCGAATTGCAAAATCCTCTCTCGAAATACACCACTGGCCGAAGCAGAAGATTAGGGTTGTACTGGTGTAAACTGATTCAGTTATTCCGTTGAAGTTTTAGCTCGTGGGAATTTTATTGCGATTCTGTCGCATCTGTAATTTAAATTAAACTGCCTCAAGAGGACTTTAGGCGGCGGTTTTATCGTAAATAAAATATTGACCAATTTATCGTTTCGAAATAGGAGAACGCTAATTTTGAGTTTTAACTAAGTTTTTTATAGAATGGCTCTTATGGTTTATTGGTTACAGCTTAATTGAAAAACATACTGAACTGACAAACTGCTGGTTGAGGGTTTGGTTAGCGCAAGAAAAGTATTTTATTGCCTATTAACTAATACACTACCTTTACTTACTACTGCGTTATGTAAAAAAAACATTTGTTTTTATTTGACTTTGAGTTGTTTGACGTTAAATACATACGAGCATTATATTCGCACGCAATGTTTCGCGCATGCGTTTAGTTACGTGTGTACTTGAACTGGAACGGGCGAACCCGGGTAGCACGCGATGCTAAATCGTGTCTGCAACCTTTAAATCTTTTCTATACGTTAATATCTCTGTAAAATCGTAAACATCTACCTTAATATATAGATGAAATGATTTCATTAAATGAAAGTCTTTTTACGCGCCATAGTTATTGAATGATCTCTAAATTTCTTAAATCTAGTTTAGTCATTAACTTAACGGTCAAGAATATAATTATGCACATGAAATTATTATTTTTAAATAAAATAAATCAATTCAAACGCGTTAATCATATAAAATCATTGCCTATGAACGGAAAAAAATTGTTAAACGAAATAGATCTTGTCTAAGTTCTCAATTTTTCATTTTTGTTCTTTATGTTCCTTCTTCCCTATTATCAGTATCCTATATTTGACTGCTATATGGTTAACGTCGTCATCATCATCAGCCTTTGGTTGTCAAATGCTGGACGTAGGGCTCTTCTAGTCGATTCTCGACTCTTCGATCTTCCGTCATGACTTCACTTGGCCTGTGGGCGTCGTACACTAACTTAACATTCATTACGTCCTACATTAACTTATAGGTCCTTCTGATTATTAAGAAGATCATTCTGATCAATTCTGAGTTTAACCATCCTTTTGGCAACTTAAATGAGCATTAAAACATGTAGAAAAAGTACGAAAAGATTGTCGCCGCTGTGCGAATCGAACCCACGTCTTCGGCATTCGCGGCCTGACGCTCTAGCCACTGAGCTAATGTTCAATCTTAAGTGCAGAGATTAGCACTATAAAAAACTTTAAAAACTTAAATGAGATTTGAAAAGGCCATTCGTCAGCTGATTAACCGGGCATAAGTTTACCTAAACTCGATAACTCGTCAGCCCCATCGGCTGTCGATTCTGCTACCGATGTGACCGTCCACTGCCACTTCAGCATACTTGCCCCGAACTGTGCCGACGACCTCGGATCTCTGTCGTATTACCTCATTTCTGATTTAGCTTGGATCTCTACATGGCTCGCTGAGCAGCAATTTCCACTAACAACGTCGTAATGATTTTAGAGAAATAATGGCTTAATTAAAGTCAACTGAAAATATTCCTTCGCAGCACAGCGAAGCATGCCTTGCTGTCAGTTTTTTAGTCGATTTCTCTTTCGTTCGCATGCCTGCCATCTGCCGTTCACTCAAGCCGATATATTTGCTGTGGATAATATTATCTCGACGGGGCGTTTTTGTAAACCCATATCACCTGCTTGGGGTGTATGTAGTTGTATTAAAAGATGTTGACTGATTATATCGCATTTCCAAACCCCTTCGTTGGCTAGTGTATCAATTGTTTTCGGTGCGATAAGACCGTCCACTGTACATTTTACATTATTTTAAGTACTCACTTCTTTTGGGGCGTTTGGAAAAAATCGTGACACTAAAATATACAGAGGAGATAAAACTAACTATATACTTATACAGGGGGTCTTTCTAAGAGTATACATTTTTGTTATTACACCCTCGACATAAATAATGTTATATAAAAATGATAAATATCTAAAATCACTCATAATTAATTAATTACATTCATTTGAACTTATCTCGAAAAGTGCGTGATTTATGGGCAACTCATTTGTTTTACGCGCGATCATTCTTTATTAACAGGCACACAACTTCGTTTCAAAAGTATACCACGCATTTATGAATGACCACCGCATTGACAAGTTCTGTTTTTTAAGGAATTGAAAGGCAATTTTTTTGAAAAAAAAAAAAAAAAGTTTTTCAATAAATGATTATACTACCGAGTCTGAACCTCCTGTGTGAATTTGGGCACTTCTCAAAAAATCTCCCTGTATATAGTTACTTATAACTTATATATAATAGAAATAACTTCTTACGTGCTAACATAAGTACACACATAATTTTTTTTCGTTATGTATCTATTCGTGAATTCGGTGAAGAAGATATTTATTGATTGCCGGTCTGTCAACAGTCACGGAGATGACTCTCTACTTCTTCTGTAGTCTCTTTAATTTAAAGACAAATCGCTACGATTGCAATTCTGACCTTTGATCACGCTTTCGGGGTTCGACGAGGTCATTACTGATCGCGTCTGGAATGTAATCAGTACCAAATTTCCGTCGAGGAAATGTAAATCAGTACCAAATTTCACCGGGACAAGAAGCTGGTTGGCGAATTAAAAGCGAGGGGCCTTCACACTAAGCGACCAGGGCTCAATAAGCATTCTGACCATTACATTGATAATATTTATTAAGTATAATATTTATTTACTGTGGCAGTTTTGCACGAATGGGCAGGCTCGTCCGGGTAAGTACCACGACCTCACAGAAGACCGGCGTAAAATGGAAGTATATTACTTTCGCGTTTCGTCTGGTGAGTGAGGTGGCCGAAGCCCAATTTTCAAAAGGTTGTCAACGCATCTGTAACCCTCGGGTGTAGCAGATGTCCATGATGTCCACTTAACATCAGGTGAACCGCCTGCTCGCTTGGCAACTTGTCACATAAAAAAAAAGTATTCAGAAATCGTACAGTTTATTGATCTAGATTTATTAGATAATATGTAATTTTAGATAGATTTAATCTTGTAAATATTTGATAATAATTGTTTCCAATTGGGATTCGTCGTACGCTAGGATCGGTGGCCTCAAATGTGTCCGAAGTGAAAGTCTGCCGTCTGCTTGACCCCGAGAACATTACGCGGTAAAAACATCGTTTCGGTTTTTTTTCTCTCTCAACGAGTCCGTGTTTGACCCCTATACGCTAAGATTTCATATATCTGTACTAGCGGACCGGACAGAGGTTGTCCTATACACACGTCTTAAATTCGAAAATTTCAAACTTAAGTAATTTTTAACTAACATTCTCGAATCCACCTGAACACACACAAAAATTTTCATTAAAATTAATTCAGCCTTTTGGGAGCAGTTCAGTGACATACACACGTACAGAGGAATTATATATATATATATATATATATAATTCCTCTGTATATATATATATATATATAGAGATATACATAATGACGTCCCTCTTCTTACAAACGCTTAGACAAATTGTGTAACAACAAACAGTTCGATGCGGAATGAATTTCAGTCGAGATTATTACGACCAAACGTGTATGCGTGTCGAACCCACGACCCTTGAAGCCACTGATTTCACAACTCCGTCAATTGAGATGGCGATGATGTTAATTTTGAAGCACCGTTCACACAACGCATTTTTCCATTCTAAAACTAAAAAAATATTTATTGTTATAACTAAAGACATCAAGTGTTCATTGGCACCATACTAGGCGTGTTTCGATTACGATATGAGAAATCATTGGTATCGGTGGAAAACTGACTTTACTATTAAGCTATTATATTATTATTACAATATTATTACATTTAATTGATTAAAAAAACGAATACACCAGTATGTATAAAGTTATTTCTGTCATTAGTTAAGTTTATACTTCCATTTCTCGCATAGGACCCGAGGTCGTTCATATTCGTAAAAATATTCCATTATTTTCAATAATAACAAAGTAGCGCTGTAGTGATGGCGTGAACTTTGATGTGCGAAACAAAAAAAAAAAAAACAAGTGCCAGTTGGATTCGCGCACGAAGGGCTCCGTATCATTATCTATAAAAATGGCAAAAATTATATCCGTTGTATGGGAGCCCCACTTAAATGTTTTGTTAATCTGTTTTTTAGTATTTTTTGTTATAGCGGTGACAGAAATAAGTCATCTGTGAAAATTTCAACTGTCTAACACGGTTCATGATATACAGCCTGGGACAGGCGGAAAGATAGACAGCGGAGTTTTAGCAATAGGGTCCCGATTTACCCTTTGGGTACGGAACCCTAAAAAGGAATAATATTGTCTCTGTTACTCAAATCGTCATTTTAATTCTTTCGGGGTCATCCTTATCGTCATACATCATCATCATCATCATTTCAGCCTGTTCGAGTCCACTGCTGAACATAGGCCTCCCCCATAGATATAGACATCTTGTCATACATATGTATAGCTTCTACCTTTTAATAAGTCCCCGATTTTTTTCCCCGAATGAAAGATCAGGCAAACGTAATGATCCGTGTCAACGGCATGACACAGATTATACGCGGGACAGGTGGAAAAACCTGTTGATATTAAACTAGTTCGCAAACGCGTCGATACGGTACAAAAATGGTTTCAATCTTTAAACGGCGTTTTCTAACCGCACGCTAAACTGTACTCATTCACTCAAGACATTGGCGAATCTGTCCTAATATCCCAATCAATTATCAACCGCAACCGGTATGCAATTCTGTTTTATTCTTTTCAATCTTTTTTTTTTACCTTGGAACGAACTCCTTCATCTATGAAATGATTTTAAAAATTATTTTTGCATTGGGTTCGGTGTAATTTTATGTGGTCCCATATTAATTTGGTTGATATTGTACCTTTGACTCCGAAGAGACATCCTAAGAGTCAAACAGAAAATATACAGTCAGGGAGATATTTGAAATCGCTTTTGTTTTTTGTATATAAGAAATGTTATTATAAGTGTTCTGTCTACTCCGTAGGTCTTATACTTTTTAAGAGAACATTGTAATCGATTCATCTGATGTTAAGGTATCTACGGAAATCGTTGCATAAGGTATCTACGCGATGAAACTCTACCGAGTAAAAACAATTTAAGCCAGTCTCCTGTGATTTACACACTCTTTTTTGTGTAAGAAGGTGGCAAGCGAGCTGGCGGTCCACCTGACGGTAAGCGATAGCCGCGTGGACATTTACAACCCAGTAGGGTTGCAAATGCCACCTTTATATGCGCCCGTTTCTCGCCCTCATACGACGTTGACGTCCGCCAGGAACCTGATCTACAATGGCAAGAACAACATGCAGGCGTGGGGGCTGATCGTGCTGCTTGTGTCCAAGGCAGCGGGCCACAGCCCCGAAATACCCGACATGGAGCAGGACAAGGCGGCTGGAGTTCTGCACAGGTGACTCCACTCTTGATTTTGTCTCACTACTACTATTGCCACGTGTCAACTGCTTGTGTGAATTTAAAGGCTGATGGCATGGTTTCCCAAGGAGGGTTGACGTCAAGCAGGCGGCCGGTGGTAAAAAAAATAGCCAAGAACCGCTTACAACATGATTCACATGATGTTCTGGCCCCACCTAGGTGGGATAAGGGCAGGAGGATGATGGTGATGATGGCATGGAAGCAAGACGCCGAAAGATAGCAAAATAGGCCATACTAAAAAATTACATAGTTATTGGCTAAGAAGAGTTTCGACGTACTTTGTTAACTCCGCTAAGATAACAAAATTCATCTGAGAAAGAGGAACCGGGTTTGGTAGTTCGATCTTAGCAGTGCGCTTAATCTACTGCATTCATCAGCTTGACTACAAGTCCTCTATTGTAGTAGTGTGTGATAATCGACCAATACATAATTTTTGTTAATGTGAAGAGGTGGTAACACACCTGATGACCGCCGTCCGTTGCCACCTTTTAATAAAGTGGGCCCCGGCTACCTCAATCACCAGAGAAACGCAGACGTGTAACACTTCCACTTCTCTCCGGTCTTCTGTGAGGTCGCGGTACTTAACCGGGCGGACCTGCCCATTATTTATCGCAATAAATATATCTCTGTTATTATTATATCGTTAAGACGCTATTGCTTAAGAGTACTTCATTTTTAAATCCGATTTTGAAAAATACTAATCAGCTGAAGAAATGTTGGCAGCCTTAGATGTGGTGAAGAGCTTCCTTCTTTATTCAAAATTATCGAAGAGTCGTTTTGGTTCAGCCAACGGGCGCTGGCGGAGGTGACGGAGATGATCCGCACCTCCCACCTGGTGCACAAGGGGCTGGTGAACATGAACGCGCCGCAGCTCAGCCCAGGGGACGCGGACGACATGATGTTCGGCAACAAGATCGCACTCCTCGGAGGCGACTACCTCCTGGCCAACTCCTGCTCGGAACTCGCCAATCTTAGGTAAGCCAGTTCTCTAGTGTAGCGTTAATCTAGCGATAGATATTTGACATGATAGTAACCAAATCACAGAGAACCAATCTACGGAAAGATAGAATATTGAAAGCGGTCGTATATCATTAGCTTTCCTTGTGTTAAAGGCATCCTTAAAGTGCTGACTTGCAGTCTGCAAGCAAGCGACAGCAGGGATGGTGCAAATGATGGTTTGAGGGGACATTTTTAAAAACACCTCAGTCTACGTCCGGTTTCATTCAAAATTCTATCTACAGATAGATATTTGACATTAGCTCGATAATACTTACTTCAGAACTCTATCTTCAGTAAACAAATCTACGGATAGATGGAATATTGAGACCATCAGTACATCATTTCTGGTGCTAAACAGGCTTCCTTTAAGAGTGATGACTTGCAGTCCGCTGACGATGCCTTATGGACTATTGATATGATTAAACGCTAATGTTTCTGTGTTTATGTGTTTTATGTGTTTTTACGTTTATGTACCAAATAAATATTATTCTTTCTTTCTAATGATTTACATACGCCGTATATTATTAGCATTTTTGGTGTCGAATGGGCTTCCTTCAAGAGTGCTGAATTGCTTGCTGTTCTCGATTAGCAACAATACTCCATTTACTAGCGACTGCAAGAATGGTGAAACCGTTTGAGTGGTCATTTTTTAAAAACACCTCCAGACGCAAGTAATCTGTATTCAGTATCGTGTTGATATATTGGACGATGTTTTATACTCTTAATTTTCTGGAATAGTGTAACAAGATACTTCAGCGGTATTGAGATAATAGTGGGTAATAAACAAATCCTCAATTATCAGTACATCTGCAGTACATTCGATGTGCGCGTAATATGAAGAATCAGTATTAAAATTAGTAACTACTTTAAAAGATTAAAATAGGAGACGCATATTCATTTATAAATGCTCTCACCTTGTCTTTTAATCTTACCTTTACGTTTTTAAACAACGCCAGTAGAATAATTATACGGTGGATAATTATAATTAATGTACAATGTAATTATACAGTCGCCCTTTCGGTTATAGGCATAAATTTCATAAGAAATCGCTGCGTCATAAGATTTTCCCTTTTTTAAAATTAATTCGAAGTAATTGTTTGTCTTGAAAGGAGAACTTTCAAAGTTGGATTCGATTTTAAACTGCCTTTGTCCTTACTTTCTCCTACATCGAGTGCGTGTTACCAACATAAAACGCATTGCACGCGACACGGTAAATAAAGGGGGTTATTTACCGTCAAGTTTCACATTTCCCATTAAAGCAAAGATTAAATTGTCGTATGGGAAAGGTCAGTGGTGACTGCGCGCCCGGTCCGGCTCGCCTTTATAGCGCGAGCACCAGGTTCAGATCCGTCTTATATGGCTACGACGGCATTCTTCCGATATGTCGTGTTTATTGTTGGCAGCACCGTACTCTTGTGGTTGTAATCTTAGTATCTTTCCACACTCGACGCATCGAGAAAATTTGCTAAACCGAAAAAAAAATATAGTCAATCGATTTTTTTTGACATTAATTAAATTATTAACTAAGTATCTTTCGTTTAATTTTGTTTTAACGTTACCGTCTTACATTATATATTTAATACAACTAGATGGAACGTCATTGATGAATTGTACATAAAATATTTTTAAATTAAAGATTTTTAGGTTTTCATCCTGTTTTAAATCTTTTAATGAAGAAATCGGAAAAATAGTTTTATTCAACAATAAAAAATTCGCGTAAATGCAAGAAATTTGTTGTAACATGGCCATTTTTGATATACCTCAAAATAAATGCAAGACCATAAAAAATTGGTAATTTTAAATAATTAACCTTTTAACCTTTTTACTGACGAACGGGGAACTGTATTAAGGGTCAACGACCCTCGTAGTAATTGCGTGAGAATCGTTAATACCCGTTATTGATCAATTAATTCTGATTTTTATTTAACCTTTTTAATCTGCCGTTGAGTTTCCGGTGGTTATTTTTAATTTCCCATGTATCTCCATTTTGAGAGAGTTGGAAGAAATTTTTGCAGCGAAAAGTTTGTGTGACTTACAGTATTTCAAGTTTTCTTTATATAAGCCTATTGTTTTACCCGACCGCCACAGAGGTAATGTTAATGTAATATTTTCGGGCGTGTGTGTCTGTTTGTTGGCTTTCCATCAGCTTAAATGATAGTGCTGTGATGAGAGAATTTATCATATGATGCATCTTAGTTGTTAACATAGCGACATTGCGATGTAACTTTAAAGTTGGTGTAGTTTTCAGTATTTTTTAATCAGTCGGTTCCGTTTGTACCAATAATTCATTCCATTTGTTTTTTTATTATCTTTTATTTTATGGTGTTTTTATCTACATAGATATGCCAACCCCGTCGTAACTTATAGTCAAGTCTTTTTTAAAGTTTTAATAGTGCTAATCTCTGCACTTAAGATTGAACATTAAAACATGTAGGAAAAGCTTCAAATTGCTTCAAATGCTAAATAACAATGTAGAAAGAAGGCGTTAAGATTTTCGTCGCTGTGGCTATCAGCCGTTTAGCTCAGTGGCTGGAGCGTCAGGCCGCGAATGCCGAAGACGTGGGTTCGATTCCCACAGCGGCGACAATCTTTTCGTACTTTTTCTACATGTTTTAATAGTCAAGTCTTGTTACATAAGATAAAAGTCTACTTATTTGCTATTAGCTCTATAACCGTACCATATTTCTTGGTTATAATTTAGAACCGTTAAAAACCGTTAGACCTAGTTTTATATTTAATGTGACCAACCGGTTTTATTTCGACCGATAGATAATTGATAAATTCATTATTTCACTTCTAACGATGACAGATAAACAAACCACAAAATATTTGTAATGGAATACGCGATACAATTAAATTTTTCAAAGCAGATAAGATATAAAATTTAATGTTGTTAGCCATTAAATTCAGTTTGTAATAACGTTTGTAAAATAACACTTTAAATTTATTATAGTGTTCGGCAAATGTCAGTAATTAAAAAGTCATTGATATTAATTTGAATAGTTTTTCCGCTTGACGACATAAATAATTGTTAATGGTTAAAATAAATTGTTAATAGTATAAATTTATTCACTTATTAATGATTGATTTGACAGATTATTAAGGCATCTTTATTATATTATTATTACTTGCCTTCTTAGATATCTCCAACATAAAGTTCGGTTTAGGTTGCCCTAAACAAAACGAGTAGGTATCTGTTATACCCGATAGAATATAAAAATGGTTATTATTATCATATATTTGTTATTTTTATGTTGTTCTTCAAGTCGTGGTACTTTCAAGGAGTCAAAATCATTTATGCTCAATGCTTATGCCAGAAGCTGCTTAATTTACTTTAAGAGACTAGAAGACTAATCGATAATATAATAGACTCGCGTTTTGTTTGAGACAATTCTACAGTTTTGTTGATCAGATGTGGACGTAAATCCATTAAATTACTGTATTTCTGGAGATGAATGTAATCTTTGATCTATTAAAACTATATCAATATAAACAATCTATTTACGAAATGCTATGTACATTTTTAGCTCCGATGCTGCGAGGAAGAGTGACAAACGACATAAACACTATCGAATTACATATATCAGCACCGAATACGCATTTCTTTCTTAGAACGGATATGGAAATTACCACGAAATTCAGAGGATTAGTTTTCTACATACTTCAGAGCAACTTAAATACAAAAAGTTATTTAATTAAAGACAATACCATATCTGTTCGTCGAAAAATTAGTACAAATTCAATTTAAGCTTTCTCCAAACACGCAATTTTTTTTTCAAATGACTCGAGAAAGTTAATTAAAAAATGCAAATATCGCACTACAAAATCAAATGTGCCGCTCTCGAACTACATTCTTAGAAGTTCTTTTTGTACGAAGAAATTGTAAAGTTGAAACAATTGAAATGATGTTGGTAATTTTCATGAAATGTAATTTGTTTTTTTTATTAATAATCCGAACACTAATCTTATCTGAACTCAAGATGATATCTAAATCCCAGATATAGAATAGATTCAACTGTGGTAGGACCACGCAACAGTGTTCGCTGTTGCACGAGTGAGCAGGTCCGTCCGGGTAAGTACCACGAACTGACAGAAGACCGGCGTAAAGTAGAAGTGAACATCTTCTGCGTTTCGTCTGTTGAGTGAGTGAGACAACGCGTCTGCAACCTTACGAGTGTTGCAAATGTCCATGGGCGGTGGTTATCACTTAACATCAGGTGAATCGCCAGCTCATTTGCCACTCCGTCACATAAAAAAAAAAGATACGAAAAAATTGGAAAAACTTTTGAATAATACCTTATTTACCTAGATGACGAAAGAAATATATCCATACAAACGTCCATCCCCAAACTGTTACTGTTAAATTAACCGCCAATGAATAAACAACTATATACAATAGACTACTACTTAAAACAGTGGCTGTTCCTTCAACGGATCTGTTGCAGTATTAAACTGGTTATTATATCGCTCCGTATTTGAACCCGTGCCGATGGCGAGTTCGATGGGCCTGTCTGTGGCGCGTTTCACTACTCTCGAAAGCCGGTGCCTGTTTCTCCGACCAGTTCCGTCGTCCAACTTATCGCGAGCATCGGACTTCATCGAAAACTACAAAATAAAAAAATACACAAAGGCCACAAATCTACACTTCGACTTTACCATTAATGAAATGCCTTGTTCCAGTTTACGCTTTAGTGTGTCCTTTTAAAGTTGACAAAACTTTCATTTATGTGCAGAAGTAGTGCACGCCTTATTGCGATGTACTAATTCTCCACTGTTGTGTCATGGAGTTGAATATACTTTAGCAAAGCAAGGTTGTGCGTAAAGTAACTATTACTTAGCTGTGTATTTACTACCTACCTAATTTTCGTTTAGTACGGCGCTTTAAGTACCTCATAGTGTTCAGAGAACGTTTGATTCATTTAAAGGTATTTATTTAGGTACTAACTAATAGTTACATTGTGCTTATATGTATAGTGTCTTTGCTTCTACTTTAAGTTGTTAACATTAACAAAAAAGCTCCATGATTACTTTACAATTTATCACGGCCATCAATATTTGTGTGCGACGACGCGTCGATGTCTTTTATAAGATCGTTACTCGTACTATGTTCATACAAAAGATGTTTTAGGAGCAGAATAAAAATCCACCCCATAATCTTTTTCGCTACCAATGGTATTCTAGGCTCTTAAGTAATCATCACTGGCTTGTCATAGCCATTCCTATTGGTTGGTACTAGGTTCAAATCTCAGGCAGAAATTTAATCGACACTTGGAACATTTAATTTATCTCAATTTATGCACATGCGCGATTTCATTAGAATCCTCAACGTCATATCGAAATCGACATCCAATCAACTGGGCCACCGTAACAATGCAGATTTTCTACAAGCCGGGTGCCGTCATTTCCCCAGGAACCAAGAGCTGGTGGAGCTCATGTCTTCGGCGGTGAGGGACTTGGCCGAAGCGGAGTTCCTGGGGGAGCGGGACGAGCAGAACAACCCCCTGCCCTCCCGCCCCCTGCCGGAGGAGCAACGTGAAGCTGCAGCAGGTAAGGAAACAAATCGCAGCAACATTTGTTGTCGTTAAGCACAGATGTCGGGCGCTTAGCATTAAGGGCCGTCGATTATATAGGACTAGCGAACCGCCCCGGCTTGGTGCAAAGTATTATACATATAAACCTTTCTCTTGAATAATGATTCAATTGAATACTATCTTGATAGAATGCTATCTAGTAAAGAAACCGAATCAAGATCCGTTGCGTATTTTTAAAGATCTAAGCATTCATAGGGACAGACAGACAGCGGGACGACTTTGTTTTATACTAGGCATGTAGTGACATATACCTTGGAAACCTTACGTGGTACCTTACGAACGTATATAATTATTAACTTTTGTGTAAAATTCGAGTTTTCATAAGGACGCGCAAGCGTCTATTTGAATAAAGATATTTTGAATTTGGATTGTGTAAGGGTTCCACACAAAATAACAATAACAACCGCGTTATTGCCATCTTCTTAGAGTAGATATAAAGCCACATTTTCTGGGGCATAGGTGCGTCCCTTACATAACTCGGATTATGGTCTTCATTTCGACAATGTGTGACTCCTGTCTGACCGCTAGGGCAATGTGGGTCCTCTTGTGTGTGTAAGAAAAGAAAAAAATCTGTTTACTCACATAAGCATAAAAAGCCCGTATTCCGATAGGAAGAGAATAATAGCGGGATACGTTTGCACGACGAATTAGAGATGAATAAAATAAATACACGAATGAGTCGTCAGATGTGAAAATCATTAAGAGAACAAAATAGATAACGCAGCACGACGCGTCTGATTCCATTAACGTGGTAGAGTTCGAGGTGAGAGACGGCTCTGAAGGTATGACGTCATATGCTTGACGTCATCGATTCTTTTGCAACTGTGATTGCACCGACTCTAATGTGCTATTCGCCATATGTCGTAATTTTTAACGCTACGTTAACAGTTGCTAGAGGTGTCGTAAGTAATAACTGTGAAACAGTATTATTACATACATCATATTTGACATGAATTAAAATATTAAATGTCATTAAAGAAGACTATTTTAATTTTAATTTTGTCTTGTATTATAGAGATATATATTATGAGTATTGATTCTGTCGGAAATTCAAAACAAAATTAATTTTATCTACGCGACTACAACAACTAGTTTCGGTAAAACTAGTTTTGTCACGGTTCATTTATATTTTAACCTTTACGTTTCAAATATTTATAGAATTCATGACCATAGATATGGTTGCTTTAAAATCCGTGAACTGGTTTATTCAAAATTATTCCTATTTTTATATAATTTCTAAGTATTTTATTTGGTAAATATAAACGTGTAAACAAAACTGGTCACTTTTGGTTTACATAGTCGTATTAACGGTTGTATGAACTCTTGAATTAGATTCACAACACCATTCCGACGTTCAGGATCTGAACCCATTGACCAAGATCGCGAGCAAAACACTACTTTCACTCAGTCGTTTGCTTGAATCGCTAATGACGAGAGATCGTTACATTCATAACGGAACAATTATGACGTATGTACTTTAATTAAAAAGTACAAATGTTCTGAAACAACGGTTTTGGCGTAACGGCCCAAACGGTTAGAGCTGATCCGAGAATATTTTAAAACGCCTATTTTAATATTTCGGCAAACGATTGTGGTAACAAATTCCTTGGCATGATTTGAATTTGCTAAATGAATGTTGGACTGTTATATTATACAAACCTAACAACTGTGTTTAATAAAATGATTACGTTGATTGTAGAGGGCACAGTCCGTGTGCAATTATATCTAAAAAGAAATTAGGGAAATAACTTATTTAAAATGCGTAAAAACTAAATAATTTATCATACGCACAATTCGTTTGTCAAAATATATGAATTAAATGTAATCTTTTTTATACTAAAACCTTAAATTCAAATTTTAAGGCTGTAACATAAAAACCATTTAATGGGCATTTTTCCTTTTTTTTCTGGGAATTGGATTCTGTAGTAAGCACCCTCACCTATCAGCGTCTCCGTGCAAACAGTTTCTCTCGGGCGTGGCAATTTGCATACCTATTAATGGGCAAATGTGTGCTCATCTTCCGTCCGTGTCAATACGCGAACCTGTTCCCTGCACAGATTAATCACACAGCAGAGCGAGCTTTTCTGAGTGGCGCTTTTTATACCGAGAGGCGTTTTGATCTTTGAGTTTCTTAATACACACGGGTCGAAGTAAAATAATAATACAAATGCAAATATATTTATTCCACTAACTTATTTCTGTTACAGTTATAAATACTTGGAGCTTTTAAGCAAACGTTTGGTTGTGTTAGGCAGCACCGCTCTTCCATAGCATACTTATAATGAACTTAACTAAATTTATATCTCCATTTAAGCATAACGTTTAGCCTGTATGTCATATCATAAATATTTAGTTCTTTAATAATTTTATTGTATAAGACAATAGTTCTTGTAAATAAAGATAAACTCCTTCAATAATATTAAGATGGTGCGTGTTGACGAATAGACGGGATGTGTTGTTCGAACCAATATATTTCTTGAAATAGTACTTTTACGGGTAATGCACTGCACGTAACAGTCTATCATTACACACAGCATTTTCGAGAAGTACAGTGATTTATAAACATTGCGACCGCTTTGCCCTCAGCCATCCAAACTACATATTTGTGGAGTTCATATGGACTTTCATTGAAAATTTGAAACACATGCATATGTGTACTCCTGAGAAAAAATATTGTATATTATAAATTTCTATTGGAGTACAAATATGGTGCGTTTAAATAACATACACATAATCAATGAAAGAGAAAGAAAGATTACTATGGAATATTGCAATATTCAAATCAGTCTGTAGTGATTTCAGTGAAAGATTTTCCATGTAAATTACGGTTTTCGCTTAAAAATATTAAAATAAATGATTTTAGGAACACGCATAAGTATTATATAACCAGGTGGTGTTAGTTTTTGTATTATAATGTACATATTTAGTGTATATAAAAATTTTAATCACATGATGTGTCTTTTGTAGCATTGCTCTGTGCAAAAGTGCGTCGGCGAGTATGTGTCAGTAGACGTTAGGTTTCGCTTTTACGCGTGGTGACAAGTTGTTTCACGTCGCGTTAGGTTAACGCTTCGATAATTTATATTCTACGCATCATTTACCGCGCGATCGCTTGTCGTGGCTATTTTTAAATGTCTTCCGAGATTACTACCGATTACTGTTGTTATGAATGATCGAGGGACGTCTTGTTTTTTATATCTCTTCATAATTCGAATATCACTACATAGTATAAAAACAAAGTCGTTCCGCTGTCTGTCTCTCCCTATGTATGATTAAATCTTTAAAACTACGCAACGGATCTTGACGAGGTTTTTTTACTAGGTAAAGTGATTCAAGAGGAAGGTTTATATGTATAATACAGTGCACTCGTGCGAAGCCGGGGCGGGTCGTTAGTAAGATGTGTCTGCTTCTATGAATTTAATTAGGTTAGAAAAGGTTTGCTTCCCTCCGTAATCTGGTCATGGCGCCATGAAAATAAATCTAACAGAATTCAGACTCCTTTCCTATGCAGCGGGGAAAATTTTGAAACGATTCGTATTTAGACTGAGAATTTATTAATAGTATTAACTTTATTAGCATAGGAGGTGCGTGTTACGTGTTAATAGTGATAATTGAAAATGACTAGCAAGACTAGCTTGTTCTGGAGACATAAATCTAACCGAAGACAAATTTTTAAGAGCGTATTCCGAAAAGCGATAAAACTTTCAAATCTGATGTTACCTGTGTGTTTTATTCCAAATATATGCTTCCTGCGACGAGCGATGCTCGGTTTTTAAACTCGGAGTAGCGTTCTGACTCTGAAACGATGAAAGCTTTATCGTTTCCCGTTTTTCGCAGTAGATACATAAAAATCACGATTTAAAGTCTGCTTAAATCGAGCAAAACCCGCCTCGCTGTTCGATCGGCCATTATAGTTCACCATTGTGCTCGTTCGTAAGGAACTGGTGACCGCGTCCTGAATGCAGGCGAAGCGCTGTTTCGAATACTAAACAACATAATACGCATCGCGGCTATGGCGCTCTAATGTAACATTATTTTAATGGCGTTCGTGAACTACTGGCGAGAAATTGTTCTAAGAAATAAGCCCGTTATATCGTTTTCTGGTTGATAAGGCATCTGCTTGGTGTTGCTGGTTCTGCTAACTTACCATCAACGCTGTAATATATAACGTCGAAAGTAATAATAATGTTTATGAATTTTGTGTGGAAGGGGTTAGGTAGCAAGTCCCAACTCCCACTGCGACCTAGATCTATTAGTAGTTACTGTAGGATAGCATTATCCTGTGCTGTAAGTTTTACATACATAAATTTCACGTGTACAAACACTCAGATCCAACAATTATCTGTGGGTCACACAAATAGTTGTCTCGTGGAAACGAACCCACGACCTCCGGCGCCGAAGCCAAAACCTTGACAACTGCGTCACAGTGAACTCAGACTAAACTTCTGCTGTGTCAACACCTGTGCCCCATTACAATCAGATGTATTAAAGTCACAGCCTGATATTTGCAAAGGGCACAACTAGAAGTCCACAAACTTCTGTTATTTGGCACAAAATAAGTTGAGAACCGATCGAGCTGAGGTCCGGCCCTCTCGGGCACCCTCGAATCACAAACTTAATACCCGTTTAGGATATTAAGTAACAGCCCAAGCCGCTCCATGGAGTGTCCACCAAAGCGACCTAAGACCTTGGTGGCTTCCCGAACCGGTGAAAAAATAATAGCGTGACGGGCCTACCACAGCCCCACAGAAGACCGCCTTGAAATTGAAGTATTATACTTTGGCGATTCGTCTGGTAAGTGAGGTAGTCGGGGCCCACTTGTTTTAAAGGTTGCCAACGCATCTGCAAGCCGTCAGGTGTTGTAGATAAATGGACGGCGTTAATCACTTAACATGAGGCGAACCGCTTGATAAATTATCACATTAAAAAAACGGTAAACATTTATCTTTTTGGCCAGTGTTGATTGGTGGCTGTGCCGTTAAATTGAAAAAGTCAAATTCTACAAGTCAATATAATAATTTTTAAGGAAATTAAAAAAAAAAAATTCAAATACAACCTTTGTGCTTCCCTCTGCCCATCCCAACTTATAACGCACATACGTCTTTGTTTGTTGGTTTTATATGTTAATGAAATATTTAAACAAAGGCTTCTTAACATCAGAATATAATTAGGTATTCACATCACACAAATTTATAGGTAAACTATTTGTACTATAGCGAGATCTGACATTTTAAATCGACGTAGTCCAACTACGTACACAGTATGGAAATGATTCCTTGTTATCAATCGATGCATAAATTAAATAAGATCGTTCAAGTATTAGACTGTAAATCTATGAAGTTATTAAAATTGTTGGTGTCTTTCTCAAACTTTTTGTGGTGTACAGGCTACTTTTGGAAAAATTGATTACCCACCGCCTACTGATTTTTATTTAGCGCCCCCTCAGGGAGCCTCAGCACCCACTGGGGGCGGTGCCGCCCACTTTGAGAACCATCGTTGAAGGTTATTAAAAGCTGAAAGTCATTGCTATCAGCTTTTAACTTCGCAAGCTCTCAAATTTAGTCTTAAGAAAGTCGTAAGAGTATTATTAAAAGTAATTTTTAGGTAGTATTTGCTGTTTAGTATTTGCTGAACCCATTTGCTTGACTAAATGAAATATCGCGTGATAGTTTGACGCATTTTTTTATTTTGTTTTCTAAAAAACGCTACCTTGTGCTATAGAGGTGTTTCGTAAAATGAATTTAAGCAAAGAGGGACTCTGATACGGAACAATTAACTACGCCCTACAAACCTTGTCCCAGGAATTGACACCTATATCTCGCGGCACCTAAGTCTACATCTTAGCAAATTTGCCAAAAGTCATAAAAAATTACGTCATCGTCACATGTATCGTAAAGCAATTTTAATCTTGTTACAATATGAAGAATAGAAAGACTACTTCGGAGCATTTTTCTTCGACCGCGAACAAATCAAAATTCACGCCCTTAGACTCCTGAGGGAATGCCCCTATTTGCATTCCCAGAAGTTCAAGTAGAAGAACACTAAATAACAAGTACTAAGTACAAAACTTCTGAAGTTGTTATTCTCTATTCAAATTGAATCGAAATTCTAATCTTGAAAGCTTTTAATTGGCCACAATGTTTTTAAATTCGGTCACATAACCGTTGTAATTGTAACAAGACAAAATAGAACATCTTCCCGGTGGAATGTTCCAGAGTGGGAGTGCGTCCTCCAGCCGCTGCCGATGAGCGGGGTGAGGGGCTGCGCTAGGAGGGAATGGGTGGCCCGGCACGTGCTTAACGCGGGTGCCCTGCTCGGCAAGAGCTGTTCTGCCGCCCTCAAGCTGGCGGGGCACGCGCCCGCTCTGCAAACCCAGGTGGGCTACAAGGAACGAACAGCTGAGAAGCTTTATAAATAAAAATAAACAAACATATGTATTGTCTATAATAAATAAATAGGACCCAATCAGACGGAAGCCCTCGACAGGGGAGACATTATTACTATTATATTACACAACTAAAAAAAGGAAAAAAAACAAAAAACATTCGAACTAATATTGGAGTATTAAACGTTTCGTCTGGTGAGCGAGTTTTTTAAGTTATCAACGCATCTGCAACGCCGCACGTGGACATCTACCATGGGCGGTGGTGATCACTTAACGTCAGGTGAACCGTCCAATCGCTTCGCAACTTCAAATGAAAAGGATGGCTGCGATAGAGCGCCAGTTTCTGCTGATGGCATCAGATTCAGCAATACGAGAAATAAGTACATAACGCTGCCACAAAGTAGTAGTACTTTGCGTTTGCGTTTCGTTTTATGGTTGGTTTCTCTTATAGGTTTTGCTCTTCTCTAGCTATAACATTACTATACGTGAAGGCGTCTCATTGGCTATTAGTCAACTGCTTCACGGTAGTCGTAAGTTTTTAATAAATAAATAAACTCCCGGAGTTGTCTAACTTTTTAATAAATAAATGAACAGCTAGGTGATGAGCATCTATGCGCAGGGCTACCTTTTCGGCTGCCACCTGGCGCTGGCGTGGCAGGCGTTCTTGGACCTCGAGGCGTTCTCTGGGCCGGAGCCTCGCAGCTTCTCCTTGGTGGGGGCCCCACTAGCCTTCACTCTTCAGGCGCGCCCCCAGCTGTACTCGCTGATAGAGGACGGCCGCCGCAGCGTGCACGACGTCGACTACCACGCGGTATTGTATTGTATTTTTATTGTATTGTATTGTATTGTATTTTATTGTATTGTATGGTATTGTATTGTATGTTATTGTTTTGTTTTTGGGTGGTAAGGTTTGGGTAGTAAGTCCCAACGATCACTGTGACCTAGAAGAATATATTGTACGAAACACTGCCCCCTTACTGTAGGATAACATTATTCTGTATAAAACACCCAGAAACTATTAGTGGGACACACAAATAGTACTCGTGTGGCAATCGAACCCACGACCATATGTGCCGATACCTTGTCAACTGCGCTACAGAGCGCCAGGTTAGCAATACACATCGGTTGTTGGGTCCAGGGCGGCATTCGGCCTATACGAAAAACTGCTTTCTCATTTACTATATGTTTAAAATAAAAGGAAAACTATAGCCACCCTAAATTTCTAATTTCTATCATTATATTAGTAATCAGTCGTAATCGCTGATTTGTCATTCACCCAATCTAAAAAAGTAGTAAATCGTGTCAAATTGATAACCTGTTGGAGAATGACTCGCAGAGCGGTCTATAATAATAATTATTGTATTAACAAATCTAAATTACAAAAACGCTATTGATTGACGGAATTCTGCTTTTCTTTACACGTTTCGTCCATTCGTTTACACGGGTCGTGTTGCGTACATTAGCATGGTACTGTTGCGAAACGGGTTCGTACGTTGACCGGTCACTGTCTGTCTCTGTTGCTCCCGCGCATATGTATTGCCGCCTCGCTCGCATAGATGCATCGTCATCGACATTGCAAACCGTCCGAGCTTAAACTTGTTTTAAACCCCGAAGTAAAAATATCTGTGTCTGTGTGTCTGTCTGTGGAATCACGGCTTATAAACGAATGGGCGGATTATGGTGCGGTTTTATTTTTTCGAAAGCTGACGTAATCGAAATGGTCCTTAGTTATACTTCTTTCGGTCAGTGTTTTACGACTTACAATTTTATATAACTTTACTTGTGGGACAGTTGTACCGCGCTGTGTTAGAGGGCGACGGCATTGAGCAGACGAAACAGCTGCAGCGCGAGCACATCGGCACCGCCTGCGAGGTGCTGGACAGTTTTCCCGACTGCGACGCGCGCACAGCCCTAGCCAATATCATCGTCGCCATGCACCCCTAGCGCGTGTGCGCACACGTACGCACGCGAACCGTAGCACGTGCACGTACGTACGAATGGACGTACGCGCGTGCGAATGGACGTAAGCGCGCGCGAATGGACGTACGCGCGTACGAATGGTGCGTTTTTCGTGTCAGTATGTAAGAATAGATCCACTCTTAAACGTATGGTGCTGAATTGAAATAAATGTTAACTTTTACTCACTTATGGATAATTAAAAAATATGTGGACATTGCAATTTTTATAATTGATTAGCGTTTTTAGACTAGCATTTTATGTAAAGAATATCCTGTTATTAGAATTTTCATTATATCACTTTGCAACCAAGAGAAACATGTATAATAATCGATTAATAAACAGAAGAGAAAGTTACTAAACTGTTGTCTTTGACTATTAAAACATAGATTTGTGAAGTATATTTGAAATAAGTTCTGAACAATTGATAAAAATATTTTTTATAGAACACAAGTTGTTCCAAATATAAACGTTATAGCGTATCTTTAATTAAATGTAGAAACTGATGTGACATTGGCAGGGTATTATAAATATAGGAGGCTATAGCAAAGTAAATTTCTAATTCGAAATAAATATATAAGCCATTTTTATAATATTATGAATATTATGTTCTATAGTATTTACAAGAAAAATGAACAAAGAATATAAATTGATAGATAAATAAATAAAAACATACATACATAATCTAAAATATAATCTATAAATATGAGAGGAAGTTACCAAACAGGTGCAAAATAAATTTGTGATTTTGTACCTGAGGAACATAATAATTAAATTGTATTTTTTATATAGTTAATATTATAATATGAATGCTTAGCAACTTTTATACAGGAACTTATATTTATTTTTGTAGATAATATTCTATAAGTACATAATATTCAACTACATTTGATTGATCAATGTAGTTGAAGTTATGATCAGAAATATTTGAAAGAAGTTTGTCTTCTGTAAGGGTCATCATCTTTAATTCATATTTTCTAATGAATTGTAGTAAATCAATAGCTAGTTCTTAGTTACAAGTAAACGAATCATTTGTTACCAACTTCGTTTTGTCCCATTATGAACTCTGTGTAGTTTTTTATTGTATAAATTGTATTATTATATCTGTATTATTATTTTTTTTAATTAAAAGGTGCTATTATATATAGCAGTTAATAAACTCGAATGTTTGTAAGATAGCTAAAAACTGGCGTGCATCTAGAGTTGAACTTTGGAGGTTATAAGAGGGTAATGTTATGGAACATATTATAGTAAATAAAAGAATTATTTACTCCACCGGCATTTAAAATTAATAGTTCTGTTTTATGTTCAACATAAGGTTTGCAGTAACATGATCATACTACTACATAAATATTTTGACAGATCCATGCCTAGAAGAAATATGTAAAACCGTCTGTCCGCCCAATTTACTTATTATTAATTGTATAAAGACTAATTAGAAAGTAATATAAATTTTTGTGTACCGTATACGTATAAAATAAATTTTATTACAAAACATACAGAGTTTTACTGTTCACACTTAATAGAAGTTATAATTTTTTCACTCAAATTAAAAAGATTTAATACTTTAAGAATCGTTTTACATATCTTGCTGCATCTCGAAATTTCTTTATGCACGACACCGTCTGCCTACTTAGTATTTACCAAATCCGCCTTCGCGCCAATTACATTTGACGGTAGTTTCATGGTGAAAATGGTGATTACACCTGTGAAAATGGTGGTTGTTACCTGAATACACTTTGAAATTTAGTTTAATTGATTCCAAAAACCTTTAATAAGTAGAAGTAAATAAAATCGTAGACTGATAAGTGTCAAAAATATATTTGCGCTGAAATAATTTGCGATATATAGAATCAAAAATATTGATTCTTTTTCAACATCCCTAGCCTCAATCAATCACTTTGTCTGTCTTTCGTGGTCAACGGTTTTTATTCCGGTCGGTCTTTGTTCCTGTTACTTAATAGTAACAGTGACAAATACCTGTTACAAAATAACAGCTTGTTATTTTATACTGTCGTGAAAATTTGTGTAACTGTTACCATAGAGGAACAGCTGTTACAACGTCCCTACTTCTCTTTCTAACAAAGCTCTATGATCGATGCAAACAAAGGAGAGAGCTAGTGACAAATGACAATGGCAAAGTGTTCAGTAACAAATGTGACAGGGTGTAACAGTTTTTATCTCTCTAACTAAGTAAACAGTCGTAAGCATGAAAAGAAATGAAAAGCTTTTTATGGAACATACACAGCGTGTTAAGGAACAATTTGTGTGGAACAGGAACTGTGATTTAAATGTGTTCGTAACAGATACAGTCTGTTATATCAAGATACCTGTTATAATTACCTGTAACGATAAAAACGCCTCACTCCTACTTGGTGCCAGAGAACTACATCTCGACTATACATACTCGAGTCGTAGAGAACTACATCTCGACTATTACGTTTGTATTTAAAGATGGTTGCCAGTTACTGCGGAATGCAGCAGGTACTAATTTTGTAATACCATTTACTAACTTTTCATATTTCTCAAGGATAATTTTAATATAAATTAGTTTCTGATAGGGTAAAAAATAAAACATTCGTCTCTTTTTAAATTATTGTATTAATAAATAATGGTAGTTCTATTTACATGACACAATCTTTTGTTTTGGCAGAATACAATAAAATATCATTACACAAATAGGTTCGTCGTAACTCAAACATTTATAACGAACACTCCGCTCGCGGCAAATCTCGTAAAACATAACTTTCACATCAATCTACCATGTGAATATCGACGCGCAAATTACATCAACATAAACGACAATGCTTTTTGGTTACAAAACGTTGACAATACTGATTGTTTTTGGCTTTGTGGCTTTACTATAGATAATAAAATGCAACGGAGTAGTAGCACAGATTATATGAACAGGTTACTTGACATATAAAAAATACCCATTCAAAAAATTGTTAGGTGGCAAATCTGCGCCGGAAACTGCCCAAACACACAGAAAGAGACACAAGTCAAGCACACGTGAATCAATGGTTATATTATATCACAGGTTTCTAGTGTGACCTAAATGATACTTTTTTTTATAAAATCAAATTTATGTGAGATTAACAATCATCTACCTTTTAATTTAACTTTTAACTGTTGCATTTATACAAACGAAGCCAATTATAAATTATAATTAACACTTGACATAAATTCATGAACGCCTAACAGTCTTTTTCATTTTAAAGGATAAATGCACAGTAGTTAGCTATTAATCAATACGATTCATTTCCACCATATTTCTAATTTAATCTATACATTTGTATTGTTTTTTTTATTTTCGTTTATATAAATGCAACTTTCCACTACAACATTACAAATGCAATTACAGTAGATCGAAGATTACGACTTGTTTTTCACAAACTTTATTTCGAGGCAACTATTCACAACACTTAAATGATTTAAACCTCAATTATAAAATGAGGGTTCGTAAAGTGACAAATATTCCACATGTAAATCCGTATACAATTTAAAATATGTTATACCTGCTTTTAATAATAGTGCTTGATGGAGTTCAAATGTCAAAAAATGCCGCCATAACTTATGATATGTCTTGTCACACAATGCATCGTTTTTGAGTGTTTATGCGCGGTCGCTTCGTATGGCAAGAATATGGGCACTGTTAAATTAACGCACACAAATAATATCAGAATATAAATTTAGGCAATGACCGGTAATAGTTCGAAACTTTAAGCAACTCCATAAGATCGACGATATTCCGCACCATTCGTTAAATTTTATATTTTTTTTCACACCTACATTACAATGTACATAGACCCGATGTCTATTATTGCTTAGTTTTTATAAGTTTTGCTCTCAAAACTTCACCTATAAATAATTTCACGTTCGTCCCAATAAATTTACCATTCAATAAATACGTACACGTAAAAAATATAAACTATATCAATAGTTTAATCTTTAAAACAAACTTCTCTTAGCCTAATTATATATTAATAACTATTCGTCAGTATGTTCTCATTCATTTTTCAATAATATGCCTACTTTATAATCTTTCCAAGCGCCTGCTTTTTTTTTGCAATACTTATGTTACTATAATTGTATTTTTATTTAATATTTTTTTTTTTACTTTACGAACGTAATCTTATTCAATTTTATTCGTCGCTTAATATTAGGGATGATTTTGTAGAAATGCTCACACGATTCTTGAGGACATAATTTTACAGTTTAGAAATTCGCGTTCACCTTAAACACATGGCGCGGCCCCATGCACTGGCACGAGAGAGGAAAGTAAAGAAGGCTTAGAAAAATGCGTAAAACAACTAATGTCGAGCCGTAAAGCAAATATATTAATCGTTAACATCTACCGTAACACTAAATTATTACAAAGAAAATCATTTCGCAATGGTTTACGTAATACAATATAAATAAGTTAAATATTCTAAAAAGTTAAAAATACACACGTCTTAACCTAATAGAAAAGCACTCAAATACGTTTGTGGCGAAATATATGTCGCGCTACCGCTTTGATTTTATATGTTCAACCACCTAAAAAAATCCAAAATAAAAAAAAATAAACGTCCAGACTGATAGAGGAATGGTAATAATACAACGTTATAGTAAAATAATAAATATGGAGACAAAGGTACAAAAATATCAATTAATTTTCGCCTCTAGCCTCAACCCACCTAGGATAGGATAGCAACCTTCCGGCACTTCCCACAAAACTAGATGTTTTGTACGTTTGCTCTGAATAAGGTATACATGTAGTGTTAGTAGTTTATGAGATCATTGCGTCGCACTAAATATTTATTTATAATGCGCTTAATTAAAAAAAAAACACGACAAAATATGCAGACAAAAGTATATGTTAATGCCTCTATTTTATACAAAGTAAACTTGTATAGATAACTAATTCCGCGGAGGTCGACTCGAGTTCGGTAAAATTAAATACCACATCAATATACAAACAAACGTAAAACAAACTACATGAATAGGGTAGCTTAAGTGATACCATAGACACTAAAATAGTAACGTAAGACTAGTTGAAATGCGATAAACACTGCTAAAAATAAAACTTAATTAACATCTTTGATTGAAACTCACTCGGTTCGCGTCGAAAACTTCTACTGTAAAACGATAGTCAATTCCAATTCGATTGCCGCGAATATACGGCTCAAGATGGACCAAAATTAACGAGAAGTATGTACTTATCGTACGATTGGATCTTTTACTACGAGCGATGGTCATTGTAACATTTTCGTGCGTAGTAAAGGCACGCGGCAAAGGCGCATACGTAGGTACGTCAATGTCACTAAATTTCCTATGATCTAAAGTCAAACTGTAGTCGATTCCTATTGTAGTCGGACATTACAAGAGCTATACTGGCGCTCGTAAACGTAGCCGTCATTCACAAGAATTTGGATTGGATTGCGGTCGCGCTGGTTACGTCGCGACTGGGCGCGGCCTGCGTCAGGTGGCCGACTCCTGGTAGGGGCCCGTCACAGTGCAGGGGTGCATCGGGAATAGTGTGGTCCACGACATCGTTGTCTGGGTGTCCGTCCTGAGCATGATCTGACCACTCTTCTTCGCCGCGTTCGTCGCTTCGACCAACGCTGCAAGCGAGCTGTAGCCGCCCGGAATGGCGTCGTCGTTGTTCTTCCATTTCTCCGCCCCGGGAGGATGCCTCTGCTCCGGCCCTGGCGTGGTGGCCGGCGAGACCGAATTGGAGTTCGGGCCCGACGTGCCCGGCGTGGGAGGGTTCAGTCCGAGCTTCTTCAATCTCATCTTCTCCTCCCATTCCTCGAGGCCGTGCTTCGGACGATTCAAATTCCTATGCTGGTAGAAGACCAACGATATCCTGGTCGGGTTCACTCTATTCGGATTTTTCACCGCCGTCGTGGAGTGCATCTCGTGTTTAGCACACTCGAAGAGTACGCTCCCGTGGCCCAAAGCTATGGCCACGCCGCCCATTTGGCTGTCTTTGAAGCACTCCAAGTTGTCGGTGACCTCTGTCACTTCGCCGATGGGTTCGGCTTTGGGCGGCTCAGGTGCATACGGAATGGAAAAAGGTGGCGGGTAGAGACACCAATTGGGCGAAGATTGACACCAGTTTGAAGTCGGGTTCTGGTAGAAGTTTGGCGCAAAGTTTGGATTGTACTGGTATCCGTAGGAGTTGTAACAATGTGAATTCCTGATCAACTCCTCCCTTTTATACTTTTCGGCGTTGTAGTAAGCTATACTATTATAGTCGTTGTATGAATTCTCGTACGGATTGAAATGACCGTACGGACTTGGCGGGAACGGGTATGTGTTTGTCATCTGTGGGTAGTTGCCGTAACCTTGTATGGGCGTTTGATTGCCAAAACTGTTTTGACCGATAGGATGGAAGTTGTTACCGGTGAACTCGTGGGCCGGCTTATTCGTTGCCGTATTATTTTGGTTCATATCTTCGTGGTTTATTGTGAAGTTTCCTTGAGTTGTTGGCGGCTGGGGCATTTGGTTTGTTCTGTTGTCATATGGACTTCTGTGCTCATAGCCTTGGCTTAGATGGGGCTTCTCGGAGGGTGGATAGGGTTTTAGAAATGTGGAATTCTCCATGACATCCGATGGATTGCCATATTGCGATCGCGACGGTGGTCTTGCCTTTGGTACTCTGAATAAAGCATTCTCATTGTCACCAGTCATTGCCTCTTTCGGTTTGGAAGGATCCCAATTTTTAGACTCAGGGGATTTCCAAACACCTTTGCGCGCATCGGGCGATATCAATCCATCGTGGTTCGGTGATTTTAAATCTGGGACCTGCGACGGAGCTGGAGATACAGGAGTACTTTGGGACTTTTGCGATATTTCCGTCAGACGCGGCGAATTTGGCATCTCAAATTCGGGCATCTTGATCGCGATCTCACCGATAAGGCCTTGCTTGTCGTTGTCTGAAGTGTTCTTTTGTGAGATTTGGTCTGAATTAGTCTCACTTCGGTTCGAATCGGGGCTAAAATTGTTGGCGGGACCGTTTAGATGGGCGGTGGTTGAGTCGGGATCTTCTTTAACAACGTTATTGAACATTTCCGAATTGGCAAAGTCAGGCCACTGGTTCTGCGGTGGCATTTCTTCTGGGTTCGTGTTGAACTGCTGCTCTCTCTTCTGCAAGCCAGACGCGAAGCTCGGCAGTTGATTGGGGTTTGCATTCTGACAATTGCCATCCACCAGTGGAGGTGCGTGCGCTTGGTTGTACAAGCTGTTCTGGTGATGCAAGTTGTAACTTTGTTCGTACGGATTGTAGGGGGAATCCAGTACCGTGCTGGATATTTGGTTGCTTTGGAGCTGCGCGTCTGTGAAGTTGTCAATCATCGAGGCCATGTCTAGCAGCGCGGGGTTCGAAAGGTTGGGGTTTATGAGGCTGGAATTGTTGCCGTGCATGTTGGGGTTGACGAATGCGGAGTTGTACGGGGAGTTGGTGAAGGCGGAAGGGTTGGATTGGTTGACCACCGGCGTGTTGGCTCTGGGGGATGCGCCGCTTGGATTCTTCGGACTCGCGTTGTTCCTGCTGTCGTTCGGCTGCGGTGTCCTGGGCGACGCGTTGTTCTGCTGCTGCTTTTTCTGGTTGTTGGGGTTTTGTTGGGAAGAGCTGCCATTTCCGGGCGTGCTGGCGCCGTCCGCGTTTTCTTCGTCCTTGCGCTTCTTACCATGGCGTCTGCACGGTTGCAACGGCACGGAACGCACCCTCACTTCCATCGGAAATCTGTAAGTGGTTTACAAGTCATTAAGCATTTTTCCTTTAAATATTTCAATGATAACATTTTTATTACTTTAAAAGTGAAATATTTCACTACGTATTGAAAATGTATGATCTTGCTGCACCAACTAATATTGCAATGCATTGTTTATTAAAGTTTATATTGACAGTCGATAACACTTTCTTTTCTTTCATTTAAATTCAAATTTTCTACAATTTTTTTCGAATCCAGGATGTGTCGATCACTACAGTTTCTGTGGTGCAAGCAAGGGACAGACTTGTTTAAGAAAGGCGTCATTGGTGTTGAGAGTGCCGAAAGATGGCGAAAGGCGTCATTGATGTTGAGAATGGTGAGAGAGCTTGGAGAACAGCGTCATTTGTGTTACGAGTGGTGAGACAGCTTGGTGAATGGCTTCATTGGTCTTAAGAGTAGCGAGACAACATGCTGAATGGCGCCATTGGTGTTAAGAGTGGCGAGAGAGCGTGGTGAATGACGTCATTGGTGTTGAGAGTGGTGAAAGAGCTTGGCGAATAGCTTCATTAGTGTTAAGAGTAGCGAGATAGCATGCTGAATGGCGTCATTGGTGTTAAGAGTAGCCCAAACCCGTGGTCATGCCCAAACCCGGTGTTGAGAGTGGCGAGAGAACGTGGCGAATTGCGAGCAAGAGTGGTGTTGGACTCACTTGTCGAGCACCTGGAGCGCGCCGGCGCGCACCTTGTCCTCCTGTCCGGCGACGGAGCCGAACTCGTCGCTGGTGTCGAGTACGTACAGCGGCAGCACGTGCAGCTGCTCGTGGTGGGCGCGCGAGGGGCCGCGGTGCCGCGCCAGCGTCACCACCGCGGTGCATCCGTTGTGCATGTTGTGCAGGTCGCGGTGCGCGTGCGCGCAGAAGTCGATACACGCGGTGACGCCTGCGCAGCGTTTTGTGTCAGTCACGGGGGGCTTTCGGTGTGCGCAACGCGGTCGGTGGCGGAGGCCCCTAGTTCCGTCTCTGGTATTTATGTGTTACCAGGGACCAACTCCGCGATAGAGCAGGACTTTTTTAAGTCGTAAACTCTTCATGGATGCCCTGCCACCATTGAGGAAGTGTACAAAACGGGTACCAACTAAAAAACCTACGTAGCACCTGTACTGAAGCACCTGGATACGGGAAAATGAAAACCCGATCTTATGCGATTATGGCCTTCTCAGGCCTCATTTCCCAGGGTTCTAACACACCCTGTCCAGACATATGGTGCTGTGCCGGTGTAATGATAATTACTGGGCTGCCTCAACCGTATTTGTGCGATGTTAGTGTTTACCGATACTATTGTGACTCAGTTCGATCATTCCAATTTTGCTGTAATTGACTGGTCGAAAGGTCCTGAGTTCAACAAACACGGTGGAGCGAATGTTAAACTTCCGCGTATAACTGGTCAATTTTAGTGTATTATTATTGCTCTGATTTAGAATCCAATCTTGATTCTCTATTCATTAATAGTGCTTTTTTCTACTCGCTATTTAGTTTAGGATTCCATCCTTAATATTTCCTTAAGGCTCAAGTTTAAAACTTTGATACAATACAAACCAGAAAACGGACGCCCGGGCTTGAATCCCAATCGGCAGTCGGACGCCTCCTTCTCGAATTGGCACTGATTCTCGAAGGACTTTGGCGCTAGGTTCATGTACAGCGGACTGAGCAGCGTCGCGAGGACGTTCATCCTCTCTTCTATCTCGGCCTCCTCGGTCTTAACGGAAAGGCGGAATTTGCGGACGGTCTTCGAGCGCGCGTACTTGCATCCGTTGTAGTACATCGACCACGAACAGCCAAAGCTGTAAGAAGCACCGCATGTTTCTGGATCTAGCCCTGAAAACGAAAATTTAAAATTAATGTTATGGTTGAAAAAGAAAAACTATGCACTAATCGTTCATAGCAAGTACAGCGCTAAACAATCCGCCAGTCTATCTTTCGTATCCATGTTAAGGTCAGAGTGAACAGGCTTCTACCGAGTCAGTTTATTTAGTACGACAGAACCATCTTTAATTATAACGCTACAACTAAGAAGATGATGAGTTACATATTATTACGCGGCACATAAAGCAGCTTCAGCTCTTACATGAATGGGCTTGTCCGGAGTACACAAGACAAGTACCACAGTCACAAAAACTGGCGTAAAAAGCAACTCACTTTAACTTGAGACAGTTCTATTGTACCGTATTGTAACAAACCTATGACTATGAACAGTCATCTTGATAATATATTTTTTTTTAAATTTTTTTTTAAATATTGCCATTACTTTAGGATAATATTACCCTGTGTTGTAATGACGTTTTACAAACATAAATTTCACGCAGAAAAACACCCAGATGCGAAATAACTATCTGTCGGTCACACAAATAGTTTTCCCGTGTGGGAATCAAACCCACGACCCCTGACGCCGAAGCCAATGCCTTGGCAACTGCGCCATGGAGTCATCATTATTATATTCGTTTTTTTTCATCGTTGTATACGACTTCGTTAAATCATACCGTTCCTATTTTACATGACTGCAGACAGGTGAATGATTATATACAAGTCAAATTTAGGATGGATTTTCTTATTTGTACACACTATAAAAATGTGGCCCACCAGCTAAAGCATTATATATAAAGGTGAGTCAAGTGTACACATTTACAGATTATCTTATTTCTACAATAAAATATGACCAACAGGGAAATTAGCCCTCTCTGATACCTTACCTTGGCAAGCGCAAGTTCTGTTCTCGTTTGTGGCGCACCGCCTGGTGGTGGGGAGGCCGTAACGGTTAAGCTTGTGCGACAACAGCGTGTAGTCCAAATCCGCCTCCGACTGCGGTATGCCATCCCAGGCCACCAAGCACACCACGATCCAAGCCGAACTGCACTTGTGCCCGTTTCGACATTTGACCACCACCAGCACCTTCTCCGTGTAGTTAGCTCGGCGAATTATCTACAATTACACGCAGGTCTAGAGTTTAAGTTTCCACCGTTCGGAGATTGCAGTCTCACGAAGGTTCTATATCAGACATGTTTTAATTTTCAGTTTTTAGTGCAAGTCTCTGCCCTAACGATGAAAGTCACAAATGTGTAGATAAAACTGTAAAAAATGTCAAATTATGATATTGAAGCATCTTTTATGGTGCAAAAACAATCCTTATTTTTTAAAGAAAGAAGTTATGGGATGACGAATACCAATAAAAAAGTTATGACGGTATTATGTTTCAAATTTCTCGTTACTTCTTAACATAATACGAATAATAAAAAAACTTTTGGGATCCATACACTCACCCACTTTGCCATTGGGCATCCCTGGGCAGTCTTTCCCTCCTTGCCCGTATAGCAGATTTTCTCTATTCTTAACTCTTTTCCAGATAAGCCTGTTCGAGATTCAAGGTCCTTTCTTAGTTCTGCCAAACTTGACGCTGCGCCTGTAATAATTACATAGTAAATATTACATTTTTTATAATTGTAAGAAATGGTGTTAGTCATAATTATGCCAATGAATCAAACAATTATTACTTTTTTAATAGCCGTGAAAAAAATTGAAAAATGAGTATATCGCATTTTAAACAAAAATTGCATATTAAAATAATCCTCGAGAAAATGTTCGTGGAAATTAACGTTCAACAAAACGTTTTCTCACAGAAACCTGAGAGGAAACATAAAATAATTCAATTAAGGCAAATTTCACAAAGGACCTAATGAAAAGCGTCAGCTTAAACCAGCTTTAATTTGCATAATTGACAAAGAGCATTCCTTAAACTTTTATCATTACGATGTCATAAACTTTTCTAATTTAAATTTATTTTAATTTGATATTATATAGACACTGTTGTAGCTTCCGCAGTTGTACGAATGGGCTTTAGAAAGGTAAGCAGAATTACAATTTCACGTTTAGTCTGATGAAAGGAACGCTTCTACAACGCTTCAGGATTTGTATATGTCCACGGGTGGCAGCGATCACTTAATTTTAGGTGGCGGTCTACCCTTGCTCGCTTGCCGTTACAATTCGACTACAAGGAAAAAAATCTTACCTAAATGGGTGTAATAGCTTCCCGGTTCTGGCGGATTTTTGTCGGCTGGGAAACAGTTGCAATCAGGCACTTCGGTTCTTGAACTATTCCTCAGCTTCTCCAAGTTGTCTAGGTATTCCTTGGAGTAGTTGAATTGATTTTCTTTCGGCATTTTGGCATTGTCCGGCACGGGCGTGCTGGGTTTTGATGCACTTTTGGGGTCTGCAGAATCCGGGTCGTCCTCTAACATTTCATCTTTGGTTTGCAATCCAGGACAGGCGCCGTCTCGCAGATGTTCTGGCGGTGGCTTTTTTGTAGAGCCTTGGCGGCAGCATGAGTACCCCATCTCATTTTTGATGGCGACTGGACCGCCATCTCCGGGAAACATGTAAGGTTCATTCTTTGGAGGTCCATAGCTTAAGTTTTTGTATATTTTGTGTCCGGGTGGAGAATGTTCCGATTTGATTTGTTCTATGTAGAATGGTGGTTTAGAATCGTTAGGTGTACTTCTTCCCGAGCTACCACGGCTGTCCGCGTGTTTAATCGATTTGGGCTCGAAGTTCTTATTGTACTTTTGGAAGCCGATATTTTCTTGAAGGCGTGGAATTTGCGCGAATATTTCGTTTGTTTCCAATCGCCTTTCGTTCGAATAGTTTTGAAAGTTTTGGTAGGTTTGCTTCTGTCCAAAATTCTCTTGTTTTATGGTGGATATTGGTGGCAGTAAATTATTTTGATTTGATCTGGCTCCATTAGGAAACTCCCTATAGGAGGTATTTAATGCAGCATCATTTTGTTTCGGAAATGTGTTGTGACCTACCATTCTTATCGTATCAGACTTCATTCTTTCGTCTTTCTTGAGTGAATAATTGTCAGGAATCTCTAACTTAGGAATTAAGGGGGCATTTGGGTGCCGAAATTTTGCATCATAGGCTTCCCTTTCAGCAGCCTTTTTTTGTGCGTTAGTATCCCGCGCTGGGGAGCAATTTTGTTGATTCATTTCAGATACTGGTCCAATGAGCATTTTAGATTGGAAATCTTTACTATCTTGCTGATTATAACTTAAACTATCACTACCATAATTATCTGCATACTTTTGGGACTCGAATGTTGCATTCGAGAAAGCATTAAATTGTCCTCTCATATCAGTATAAGATGGCAATTTTTGTGTTGTCTTGGCTACGTTCATAGACAATACGTTCTTATCATAACTCCGCGGGGCATCCGTCCCGCCCTCCCATACGTGGTGGCCACCACCTCCGAACTCGCTCATACTATAAGCATGAGTACTGTGGGAATAATTACCAGCGGCAGGATACGCTTGCTCGCCTATGCGGTAATTATCTCGGAGATGGTGGCTATACGATAAAAAATGACCGGTAGTATTTTTGTCATCATTGGCGGTCACCCCGCTTTTTCTATCGTCTATTCCTCTGGGTGGACCCTCACCAGGGTCTCCTTTATCTGGTGGTGTGTTTGTGCCATCCCTGGAATGGCTTTGTTTGTTTAAAATCATCGTTTTCAATCTGGAGTTCAAATTTACTCGATCCGACTGAGAGAACATTTGCTGCTCAGAATCGTCTTGTCGCTGTTGCTGCATTTGTTGATTCTGCATCTGCTGGTTTTGATGATTTTGCATCTGCATCTGCTGATTTTGCATCTGTTGTTGTTGATTTTGCTGATGATGACTCAGTTGTTGCGGGTTAAGTTGCTGATTCTGAATTTGCTGTTGATTCTGCATCTGTTGTTGATTCTGCATCTGTTGTTGGTTCTGCATTTGTTGCTGGTTTTGCATTTGCTGTTGGTTTTGCATTTGCTGTTGGTTTTGCATTTGCTGTTGGTTTTGCATTTGCTGTTGGTTTTGCATTTGCTGTTGGTTTTGCATTTGCTGCTGGTTCTGAATTTGTTGTTGATTTTGCAATTGTTGGTTTTGTAGTCTTTGGTTGTGCTGCCACTGACGCTGCTGCCACTCGTTTTGGTTTTGTGCTTGGCTATTGTCCCTGTACTGTCCGCTATTATAGGCGCCCGAATACCCGCTACAGTCTAGTGAAGCTCGCGGACCGTTGCTCCCCTGCAGGTATCCAGGCTCGGCGTTTCCCGAATGCTGACCATTGCTTCCGTTTTGCTCTTGTCTATCTCCGTCATTTGTTGAATCTCCCGTTGCACTTTCGGCGTTGCTATAGTCCTCAGAATGCTCGGTGGCGTATTCTGTGCGATCATAACTCGGCTGACTCACGGTGTAGACTGATGCGGCAGATGTTGGCACTGAACTCTGGTATGAAGCTGCCGAGGATGGCCTGGAATCGTTTCCGGTGGTGACGCCTGGTGTGGGTGCTTGTTGAGCGTACTGCTGTTGATACTCGGCAGTGTAATGCGGAGCTCTCGGCGAAGGCACTGGAGTGTATGCTCCCCGATTCGATGGAGGTCTTTGCGCAGGCACAGCTTGTATGCCGGCCTGATAGTAAGTGTTGTTTGTGACGTCGAATGTCGTGGCAACGTTTTGGACGGTGTAGGTGGTGTTGGCTTGGTAATGGGGCGACGTGGCGTAAGGTGTGTGGTTGCCTTGATAATCTAACGTGGTTTGCCCGGTCTGCGTGGGTATTTGTTGGATGAATTGATTTTGCCAACCTGTCGATAAGAATTTAAAATTAAAGTTAGCGAGTTTGTGTGCTACGTATAAATTTAACTAGATATTTTCTATCAAACGTGATTATTTCATATTTATAAAAAAAAAAGACACTCACTTAATACATAGGGCCACTGGGGTTCCACGTTAAGTGTTCCATATATCGTAATATAATTTATTTTCTGCGCCTTACCTTGTGATGGGTCAGTCTGCCACGTTGTTGGAAATCTATTGGGATCGCCAGCGTAGAACGGCATCGGAGCCTGAAAGGAAAGAGAAAATGTTATCAGCACTTTAATTATTTTTTGATAATTTTATTTATTTATTTGTATTTACGAAGTTATTGACATAATACAATTTACAAGTATTATGAAACTAGAAGGCTAGCACTGAAAATCAGCGCTGTGTTGGGGCCTTGACTTCCGGCATAGCATAATGCTGAGCTGCTAACCTAATTTACCGGAATAGGGCGTGCAATATTTATGGTTTGTTAAAGTTCTTTTTCATTTGTTTATATTTTAATTATGTATTTGTGTTCTTTCGCTTTGCTGAATTATTTATAAGTATTTTTTTTTATTTTTTGTTAATTTTAGTTTTTCTTTCTGTTTTATTGTGTGCGTCCTTTTTTGGTAAATAAATGTATTTTTTTTTCTTTCTTTCTTCTTTCTTTCTACATTATGTTTTAAATTAGCCAATCACTAGCTAATTTAACATAATTTTTCTGTTTATGTTTTGAATATTGAATTGTATTTTTTGTTAAGTGATGTCAAATAAAGAGATGTCAAATGATGAGAGACATGATCGTATTTAGAAAAAATCAGTCCAATTCGCAATATTTTTAGACAGATTCGCCAACGACCCATTTTCTGGTCGTTAATAGAGAATATAAGCTGCTCGGTATACAGGCGAATCTAGAAAATAAGAATATAAGAATCTAGAAAATAGAATAAATTTTGTCTTGTTAGAAAGTTCGTTTCGACGAGTATGTTTCGACTTCAAATAGTGGCGATTTGAAGTCGAAACATACTCGTTACGATCGAGTTGTGCAACAAACCCGTCAGACGGATGACGCTTTGGCCGTTCTCTATGGTCTTAAAACGAGGTCGTATGCGAGTGGTGCTCGTAAACAATTAGTACGCGCCGATGGGGCCATCGGCCGTCCCGTTATCAGTGTGCTCTACGTGGAGATGTCGTGGGTGCGAATGGCCGAGTTATCGCGTTGGGCGAGGTCAGCGACGTAGTAAACGGTTGTAAACGTGCGGTAAGGTCCGCAGAAAAGTAAGGCCACTGGACGACATAAATAAATGATTACTTTCATGTAACATTTCTACGCAATCTATCTAATCCCAAACTAAGCGACGCTTGCACTTTGGGTACTAGGTAACTGGAAAACTGTTTTGTTAATATTACACATGTAGAAAAGCTATGTTCATCACACAACATTTTAGCAGTTGTGGGGATCGAACCCAAACCATTCTCTGGCGCAAGAGACAGGTCACTATGCACTACGCTATTCGGGTCATTGGAAAGACACGACCGGATAGCAACGTGAGTTTGAGAATCTTGTTTCAAATAAGGTTGTAAGGAGTTTCTCTTTGGACTCTTCTCAGCTGCGTATTAAGATTTCAATATGGAAATATGGTTGTTGGGTTGATGAATGATCACGTAAAGAACCATAAGTAATTTACCTTTCTGAATTCATCCCACCTTCGCAGGCTTTATATGTTATTGCACGGTTTTGTTAACCATATTTTAGTATAGTTAATGTTAATGGGAATGTGCTGCTTTGTATTACGACCTTGGTTTTAAAAAAGTTTAAGGGGTTTTTTAATGTTGCTTTTAATGGACTTTATTGCTAGATAGAGATCACGGGTTCAATGGATTAGCTTATCGTATGATTTTTTCATAGTTATGTACATATTAGCCACTAATTTAGCAGATCAATATGAGTTCTTTTTTTAAAAGCAATAGCGAGAAACGACGATTGTCTAAGATTTGATTTAAATAAAGTCATGTCATTGTAACTAACTCGTAGTTATTGATTCTCTCCTTTGTTCTTGTCTAATCTATGTTAGTAAGGAAAAATAATAAAATAACATCCTATATATGTCCCACTGAGCAAAAGCTCTCTCGTATGTACAGACGGTATAAGGGCATATAGCACCACTCGACCACACTTTAAAATTCTCTTTTTTTTTTTATAAAAAATGCTGGTTAACTCAGCAGTAAAAATCAGTTAACAATTTCATTGGTGCCATCACTGGAAATTGAACTCTGGTTGCTCGAGTACCTGCTCATAATAAGAGTTAAAAGCAAGCGCCCGGACAATGAACTGCTTACGATTATATTAATTTTTAGGGCTAATCTGCACTCAAGATGAAATTCTGTCTCAAATCTGAGGAAAACTCTTGAGAATGTCGGCCCCTAAGCCCTAAGAAACTGGTAACGTCGACATTTTTTACAATACATCCATTAAGCTCGGGTAATTTTTATTTGATTATAATTTCTTTCACGCCCATGTTCCAAGCATCGAGCGTTTGCAACTGGATAAGGGCATATGAAACTAATACGCGAACAAGTAAAGCTGAAAAAGTTTGCGCGTAATTAAAAATAAACTTGATCCATACAAGATGCAGCCTACCCGCAGAAAGCAGGTAAAAGTTTTTTTTTCATATCCCTTGAACGTTAAGAAATTATTTAACTTCGAGCCCCGCTCACGGCTGTGACGGTTTAACTTTTAAATCGGACGTTCTGATAAGCTTACAATGTAATGGCTGCGAGAGCAACCGAGGTGTAAACAATTTCAAACGTTTTGTAAAAGCTACCCTATTGGCAAGGGCCTATTATTATGTCGAAGAATACATCGAGGACAAGGATGTGTAGAAGTTAATCTTGCTCTACATATTTTACACTTAAATAATTTTCTATATTCGTAACATAAAAAAAAGAGATAAAAAACCGTAGAGTTTAGTGAAATGGTGGTAGTTTTTTGACGTCCGACAAGAGCTTTAATTATTACTATACATTTTGACTTCTACTTTGGGAACGTTTTGATAATTGTGAAATAATTAATAAAGTTGGATAACGTTTATTAAATGTTTTGTTTAATGGTGAAAAGTAATTAAACGTACGCCAGTAATGTAACTTCGAAATAACGAAACGTTTATTTTACACGTTTGTTAATTCGGAGCACGCGTTTATTCCAACTTCGTAAGGTTTTAATTTTAATTCGTGAACGACCTCGGCTCGTGTGTGTGTGTGTGAAATTTCATTAAGAAGCTTTATGTGGGCTGTGTAATTAAAACTCATATGTTGCGTAATTGCTTCATTATTTATCGCTGTGTGTAATTACTAATATTTTGTTTATCGTATATCAATGATTCTAACAGTCTTGTCTCTCGCAATCAAACAGGTAATAAAACACATACATGTGTGATAACATTTCGTTATTTGGACCACGTGTGTGTTGTTTGTTAATCGTTCATTAATCTACTGTAATTATCGTAAAAACTAGAAGAAAGAAGAGTAAACTTAACTGAAACCAAATCCATTATTTATGTTTTATCGGTGGTAGAGTCACGCAGCAGCCTCGGCTGTTGCACGAATGGGCAGGCTCGTCCCGGTAAGTACCACGGTCTCATAGAAGACCGGCGTAAAGTTGAAGTATGACAAATACTTTCGCGTTTCGTCTGGTGAGTGAGGTAGCCGGAGGCCAATTTCCAAAAAGGTTGACAACGCATCTGCAAACCCTTGTAGCAGAGGTATTCACTTACCATCAGATGAACCGCCTGCTCGTTTGGCAATTTTTGACATAAAAAAATGTGATAATGTATTCCGTTATATTTTGCGTTTAGGAGTGTCTCAAATAAAATTTCTGCAATAACATCGACACTCACGATAGCTATAGCCACTTATTCATAATACCCTGCATACGTATTAACAATATAATTCACAATTCCGATGCAAAATCTTCATGTTTTAATATGAGATTACAAGATGATAAATTATTGGGGGGCAACTTTCTTGAGATCTGCAATGCGCCGTACTTTATTCATACAACTCAAATTAAGGAATAAAATATTTTAGGAGCTTTAACTTTTTATACTTAACAGTTACGGCGGCTGAAATAAAATTGTGGCTTAGGTACAGTCAGAGTGGCAATAAATTTCTGCGCAATTACCGAATGGTCTTAAGGGTTTGGACGTTGGGGAGTGCGAAAAAACACGAATTAGGTGAGAAGTGACCGTTAATTGCTATATACGCTTTGTTGCATGCCATAACACGTTTTTAGTTATTTAATTTTTTTTAATTGCTCTTACTTTCGGATGACATTATCCTGTGTAAAGACGTTTTACAAACATAAATTTCACGTGGACGCCCAGATGCGAAACAACTCTCTGTGGGTCACACAAACAGTTGTCTCGAGTGGGATCGAACCCACGGCCCCCGACGCCGAAGCCAATACCTTGGCAGCTGCGCCGAGGAGTACACTTCTTTTGGCGCGTTTGGAAAAATTATGAGAGTAAAGTTTTTACGACACGCGCGCACATCGACTCTCAAGAAGCGAAATGATGCTTGGTAACCAATTTAATCTTGGCAACCAATAACAACCTTATGACATTTAATAATTCCAAGTTGTTTTACATCAACCGTCATCAATTGCTTTTAATCTCTTTACGCTAAAGAGATATAACTTCTTACGTGCATACATAAGTACACACATGTTTTTTTTATTTTAACCACTGTTCATAATAGAAGTAAAAGAACAAGAAAAACATCAGGACATTTGCACGTAGACTAATTAATATTAATTTTAAGATTAATATTAATAATTAAATAAAATCATTTTGGCTGAACAGTATAAATAAATTGTAATTAATATTTTACAGCAGCAAAGGATGCAGAGGGCGACTCCACGAAAGACGCATCTGATAGTACATACTTCCCTGAGATTAATAGAATAATTCATCCGTGGTCCAGGGCGGTCCTGACCCAGCCACCGATTATATAGTCAATGACCATCAGGGTCATGGCCCGTACCGAATCTCGGCGTAGGGTTTTTTTTTTATGTGAAAAGTTGTCAAACGAGCAGACGGTTCATCATCATCATCACCATTTCAGCATGTTTGAGTCCACTGCTGAACATAGGCCTCCCCCATAGACTGCCACGAAGCACGATCCTGAGCCACCTGCATCCATCGACTTCCCGCACATTTGCACAGGTCGTCACTCCATCTAGTTGGGGGTCGTCCCACACTGCGATGGCCAGTACGAGGCTGCCACTCGAGAGCCTGATGCAGACGGTTCACCTGATGTTAAGTGAATACCGCCGCCCATAGACATCTGCTACACCCGGGGGTTTGCAGACGCGTTGATAACCTTTTTGGAAATTTTTGGAAGAGTTGGTGACATAGATAACGCACACATGAGCACATGAGCGGCTCTACTTAGCGGAGATCTTATGCTCATGGGTGCTGGCCCACGATTTTTGCGAAACGAAACTTTAATAGGTACTCTACGGATCGAAAGTCAGCAAAAACGTCGGTCAAAGTAAACAGGTTTTTTTTAATGTGAAAAGTTGCCAAGCGTTAAGTGAATACCGCCGCCCATGGACATCTCCTACACCCGAGGGTTCCAGATGCGTTGACAACCTTTTGAAAATTGGGCTCCGGCTACCCTCACTCACCGCATCAACGAAACGCGAAAGTATTTGTTATACTTCCACTTTACGCCGGTATTCTCTGAGGTCGTGGTTACTAACCCGGACGAGCCCGCCGGTTCCTGCTGCGTGGCCCTACCACAGTTAAAATAAAAGATTGTAAAAGTAAAGAGTGAAATAACAAAGAAGAACAGAACATCCTTCTTTGTTATTCTCACGTGATAAGAATGGGGGTTTCGCATCTTTCGTCTCTTTTCTACAATTTAACAATTGTGAGCTGTGTTTACGCCAGTCTTTACACAACAAACTCGTGAACGAAACAAGTTGTGCGACGCCGACATCAAAGTCGATTTCGCCAAGAAACGAACACAATTAAACGGGCCAAACTCGATTACAATTATGAAAACAGTCGTCCCTTCCCGACAATGTTTGTGACAAAATAGCGCGGATAATATAAACGGAATAAACAAGTTCAGGAAATTTATCGCATTTTCATTTCATTGTGACTGGTGAGTTTTGGGTGTTCGAATCTATTTATATATGGCAGTTGTTAATGATTAACGATTAATTGTTTTACGGAATGGATTATCCAAAGTCACAATTTAGCACGTTTATTGCACTTTAACCACTTATTATTTAAATATTTATACAGACCACATATTGAACTGTCGATGCCTGGGCGGAAGAGAAAAGAGAATGAACGAAAAGAACATATTTATTATGAATGAGATGAATGAATATATAAAACAGCAGTCTTTCCATTTTAATATGAGATGGATATCAGGTATAACAGTCATCTGAAACCATTTTTCGTTAGCATACTCATACAAACAATACCAAAGGACAGGTGACAGGTCTATAAAAATTATGAAAAAATAGGTACATAATTTTGTTTTAAGACATTATTCAAACTCGTAAGAGCCATCTGTGTTTCAATGATTTCATTTATATGCGTCCTCGACTACCAAATTTAGTGTTGGTGGTTTCCAACAGATGTCTCTGACCCTTATGATTTCTTCATACAGGAGACTAAAAGCGCGGTTGTATAAAATGTGTGCATTTAAAAATGGGAAATAATTATGATAGTAATTACAGTTGCGAATGTTGTCGAGTTCCGCTACTGAAGTTTTTTCACTTAATTATATCATTATAGATGAATGAGGATAAATGAGAATTTTAGATTGTGGGTTCTGTAAATAGTTTTTATAACCAAACAGACCAAACGAGTCATCAGTCACATTCATGATGTATTTCTTATAAGAAAGCAGTCTATTCCACTCATCCTCATGGTATCCTCCTCCTCTGGTAATGCTTAGGTAAATTAGTGTAAGTTTATTAAATGTTAATAAAAGTATTGAACGATACGGTGTAGCTTAATAAATATTAATTCGGGAAGTATACTATATACTTGAGCCGTGATAGCCCAGTGTCCGGGCGCTCGCCTTTAATTCAATATACTCGAGCAACCTGAGTTCGATCCCCGGTGCCGGCACCAATGAAGTTTTTAACTTTAAGTGCTGACTTATCACGTGCTCCGCGGTGAAGGAAAACATCGTGAGGAAACCTGCATATTTTCGGAATAATAACAAAAAAAAATGTATTTCGAAGATATGTGAAGTCCGCTAATCCGCAGTGGGGCCGCGTGGTGGACTATGCCCTGATACCCTCTCTATAGAGGAGGCCTTTGCCCAGCAGTGGGACATGTATAGGCTGTTACTTTACTTTTACTTTTTTTTACTATATACTTATTAGGATAATAGATACAAAGCGAATTGTATAAATTAGGAGCGACTTGACTAAGATTCGGATTAAGTCCAAGTTACAAGTTAATTCTCCCTCATACTTTTTCTTATTAACCTTATTGTTTAGCCGCATAATCTTGTAATTGTTATATTGTTAAAGTTAGGTTAATCGTTGGCTAAAGCTTTTAAGAGAATTGTGATGAATTAAAGCGAAGTCTTTAATGAAACTTCTGAGACAAATTGTATTGTTTTCGGTAGGGCAGAACTTTTATTGTCACATTTATGAGGGGCCTTAAAACATATCAGAGATCGTTTCATTCATTCTGTGTAATATCGCTGGTTAACAAACTCGATAATTTGTTGGTCATATTTTTAGCTCACTACCTCTATGTGCCATATCGACGTCTTCAAGATCGTGTGCATCTCAATTTAATTCGTAATACGAGACATTGGTTATTGTCATCGTTAATCTATCGGGCAATCCCTACCAAATCATCAGCGGTAGCTCCGCGTTATTCGAGCATTCGCAATTCAAACCCGGAAGGTCAATGTTCGACATAAGTTCAAGTGTCGTTTCCCGTGAACTATAGGGGAATTTAGAAAAAACTCTGTAAAAAAAAGAGCCGAAAGGCGTGTCTTTTTAACACCATGCAGACTTAGAGTAATAGCACTACGTTTGGGAGTAAATAAAATTTTTACTAGAGAATATTCTAGAATGTGCTAGGGACGATGGTAGGATATAAAAGGCAATGTTCCTTGCCTGTTGTTCTTCCACTGAATGACAGAGTGAATATTTAAGAATATAGCATAAGGGTGAGGCAGGTCGCTTACCATTGGCTGGCTGGGGTGTTCCTGCTTCATTGCTGGCGTGGTTGCTGGCGCGGGGCTGGGCGCGGCGGGGGCCTGGGGCGCGGGGGAGGGGGAAGCGGCTGCCGGCACTCCCGGGCTCAGTCCGGGAACCCCCGGTACGGGAACAACGCTGCCGCCGAGCGGTTTCCTTCCCCGGTAGCTCTGCAACAGGGGATAGGGCTGTTCTTATGCAAACACACTCTCCCACAGAAGCACGTAGGGTTGGCAGACTTCACATATTGTAGAGTGCGGCAGAGTTATGATTATCATATGTGAGGAAGCGGTTGGGTACGTCCCAATGGCCATTGCGACCTACAAGATCTGTACAACCAGCTACCTCCAAACCAACAACCATGACGAAATCGACGGTCGACGAAAAACCCAGATATAGTCCTCGACTGTTAAAGCTCAACTCAACATACCCTGAGATTGATCAATCTCACAGTCGAAAAGAAGGTGAAAACATCTTTCGATGGAGATGAGTAATAATAGTAAAACTTGACTTGTACAGATTTAACAAGAGATCTATAAATGTTGGCGAATTCCCTGAGATGAGATTGCCACGCCTGATTGTATCTTGAGAAAAATACAGAGTCTATGATTTGAAAGAGTAATTATGGAGGGAGATGGAAAATAGAAAATAATTTGTTATGTCATCGGATATAATCTGGCTAATTCCCCAAAAGTTTTAGAAACTAGATACGAGACAGTACTGCTCTGCTAACTATAGAAAAACTTAGCTGCATCATCAGTATATGTTACTTGATTGAATGTTACCAATGAATAAACACAGGCCCGCCACTAAGCGAAAGTATTACGACCGGTGGATAAGTACATCTTACAATTATAAAGAAATTCCCATTTCTTAAACCCGACTTTCATCGTCCAACCATTTACGTTTAACTTTTCATTCTTATGACAGTAATTTAACGGAATGTAATCTGTATGTAAACGAACGTTGAACGCCATAAAGGAAATAACGCGCACCCGTGGGTAAAAGTTAGTGCAACGTGTAATTTCATTTCTGAAACCTTTTAGTGCTGTGTGTGTTTTAAATGAAAATAAGTTTACGAATATTATCGTTTGTATTTAAATTTAGCATTTCTAGTGTCTGCGTAGAAAAGGAACGAAACTTAAAATGTGACATTGGGTCATTGAACATTTCTGCCTACTCAGCGAGTGAATTCTGTGAAGTGTTTGAAACTTCAGGAACTTATATTTGAAATTAAACGTAGACTGAAGATTGACAGAGAAAAAAGATAGAGTTTTAGATACAATATAGGCAATAACGTGGTCGATCTCTACGGCTATAGGAATCTTAATTTTGGGATTCTTCATAGTTTTTAGTACACATGCACATATCTTTATATACAACTAGCTGACCCGGCAAACCTTGTTTTGCCATTTAAATTATTTGTAGGTTTTGCCATTTAAAAAATGTTTGGGTTAGGCGGATGAAAAATAGATGTTGTTCTAGTCCTCCACCCTGGTTTCGGAGGAGTTCAATTACAAACATCGTGACACGAGAATTTTATATATTAGAAATAGAATCGATATGACGAACAAATTCAGTACCGTTTAATAATCGGTGCTTGGAAAATGTATTATTATTAGAATTTATTTATCTAATATTTACAAGATGAAATCTATCTAAAATTACACATTATCTAATAAACCTAGTCCACGCGGCATGGTGCCAAGAACGCTAGCTGCATTTCCTCGCTGAATAGTTATGCTTAACCTTTGAGCGAAAAAAGAACCAGCTCACTTGTCGCCGCGGAGTTAAGCCTAGGACCTAACCAAACCTTTAAAAAAAATTGATTTGCGGGGAGCCCACGGACCCAAAGTTTCAACAGCAAATGGCACAAATACATAATCTTAACACCTCATATTTGCGCCATTTACTTACTTCAGCTGCCTCCGATGCCGCCCCGGTCTTGACCGAAGTAGAGTATTATATAAATGTATTTGAGATAATATTCTGTGAGGGAAAATATTAAACGACTTTCTAAGAGTTAGGAGTTCTTCACAATTGATTTTGTTCTTACAATTGAATCACAATTTGGAGACGAAATAAGAGGAAACATACAAAGAGAGAGGGGATTGTATTTTAGCCTTGAAGTTGGGTAATAATTTCTGATAATAATTTCCGAGTAGTCGGTAATAAGGAGAACAATCTATGACTCTATGTGATAGATAAATGAATATAGACGCTCTACAGACAGAATTCGTGTTGTAAACACATTTTATATACATAAGCGTTTAATCCCATTAACATGTCAATTAGTGATAGAATAAAAGCTATTGAATCGACAATCGCTTTTCGGGTTTCAATTAAGTTCGCCGACCACTGTAAGCAGTTACTCACAATTAAGTCTTGTAACAGAATTTTATAATTTGGACACGTGTAAAGTTATCAATTATTTTACAGCGTGAATGGAAATGTGTTATATGAGAAAACCACGCGAAATTGTTGTTAGCATAATTACTATTGTTAGTATTGTTATAATTACTTATAAGGCGCTAGTAAGCAACCCGGATCTCACAGGTTTTTTCAGTCAGTGAGATGCCACGGAAAAATATGTAGACTTTATACAAGTGTTACTGTCATATATTTTTTTCATATTGTGACGAATATCCATTAATCAAACGGGTTCACGGTTCTGAATATAACCCTCCACAATCACACTAATGTAGTATTGGCACTCTTACTTTATAACATTAAGTAAAGATTTATTAACGAAACGAAAGAAAAATTATTTTTTAATTTATATATTTTTTCTTTCGCTTTAAATAAAATTACTACAGTATTTGCTTAATGCCCACAGACAGGGCATTAAGCAAATACGAAATTAAAACACAAACTATACCCAGACTGGGAAGATCAATTTGTTGGTCATAAAAATAAAATTGATCAACTATGTACGTCAAACGCAAAATGCCATTGGGTCATAGATAGCCAAGTTACTATAACATATTATATGGTAGTTTTGTATCCAGGTTTTTTATACGATAAGTTGGCAAGAGAGCAGACTACGGACATCTGCAACAGCTGAGGCGTTGCAGATGCGTTGCTAACCTTTACAAAAAGTATGCCTCAGCCACCTCACCCGCGCCTTTTACTGCATAGACTGCAATAAAAAGCGCTCGATATGATCTAAAAAAATCTTCCAGACTAATAATTCGTTTTCTTGTAAATTGAATTACTATTAACGGCTTTGTACTTGAATGCAACGCGAGACGGTCGATTAGTTAAGGTCCGTCGGTACAGTCGCGCACAGTTGCCGCTATTGAATTATAATACTCGTATATAAACACTAACAATCCTTACTAATATTATAAAGGCGAAAGTTTGTATGTATGGATGGATGTTTGTTACTCTTTCACGCAAATACAACTGAATGGATTTTAATGAAACTTTACAATAATATAGCTTATACATCAGAATAAGACATAGGCTATAATTAATATATATATTTTTATTTATATTTGTCTGTCTGTCTGAATGTTACGCCTTCAGCCCATTCTACTCAGACGTAGTCGCGGGCAGCAGCTAGTGCTTGTATAAATTGAAAATAATTATTGGCACTCGCAATACAAGATATTGTAGGCGTATTGGTCTTCACCCATCGAAAGGAAAAAGTATGAATAATTTTAATTTATACTAGTTTTCTTTCAAGCCTTGGTGCTATTAAGTATGTAAGCTTCTTAACTTCTTTCTTAGCTGGCTGAAACCTACAAATGGTACTAAGGTAATATGTAAGATCTAGGACAGTAAAGCATTATACGGAACTATTGGAACTTTGGGAGTTTCAAATTCAAAATCTCCTTATTTTGTGTAATGAGGGTAAGGGTTCAACTGTGGTAGGGCCACGCAGCAGTCTTCGATGTTGCACGTATGGGCAGGAATGGTGGCGTAAGTACCGCGACCTCACAGAAGACCGGTGTGAAATGAAAGTGAATAATACTTCTGCGTTTCGTCTCATGAGTGAGGTAAGTGGAGGCAATGCAAATGTCAATGGTAATCACTTAACATCAGGCGAACTGCCTGTTCGCTTGCCTCTTTCTCATAATAAAAAAGCTACATTAACACAATAAAATTATTAGAATTTCATTTATTTCTTCTTCGTCTGTACGTTCGTAAGAGAAAACTTTACCGCATCATAGTACCATATTTTATGACATGGAGATGATATTAAACTCCGCGTCTATCTATTGTATTTATTTTTATTTTGCCTCACAAATGAATTACGCAATATCAATTCCTCACTGGAAATCTACCTTTTATTGAATTCGTTGTAATATGATATTATGTAGTGGCAGAACCGGATAAAATTTTTTGGGTACAATGATTTTGAATGCTAATTATAAGGCATGAAATTGAACATATTTATTTTATGGCTTATTACATATTTTCTTTTCTTTAATTTTTTGCTGAATACGATTCGAGGTCTGCAGCGCTCTATTTAAGTAGGATTGTGTTTTTAAGTGTTCGTTTGGGCCTTGACGGTTTCTATCTTTGGAGGTCTGGTTTTAAAGTATCTAATCTAATATAAGAAAAGCTGTGATTATCTTTCGAATGGTTAGGACGTATTTTGAATGATATTTTACTTTTTATTTTACTTTTTAACCGTTTTCAGTTTTTTTCTACCTTCTTCGATTAAGCATTCCGTCAACACAGACGGCGCTCTGTCTCTGCAATTCTTTGCAATGACAGGATAATTTATTCTTTTAACACATCCCAAGGCGCGTTCACGCTCCGGCGCGGTCTCTTACAGCACTAAGTCAAAATTCGGGCCTCCACAAAGGTCGTCCATTAAACGTAAACAAAAGGCCCATTGTGCCTCTAAGAACTTGCCCGTTCTGTACACACCGCTTTTGTCCAACTTTGTGCAACCGCTCCTACATTCGATTTTTTATTGTCCGAAGACGCCACTTAGGATTTACGGCCGGAATTTCGTTAAGAACTCACCGTCAATTAAGGCCCATTTACATGGTTTCTTGCCTGTTGTATACAATTAAATTGAAGCAATAAATGAGTTGCATGGTCTAAACAACAAATGGTCTAAACAATTATTGCGCGCAATTTATTGCATTCAATTATTGCTCTTGTATGTACAAGAAAATGGCATCGTGTAAATGGGCCTTTAGCCTGACTTAGGGAAAAATTCGATTGGTTCATTAAGTTACTCTAATCTTGACCTTGTATTCTTGGAAGAGCAGATGATTTAGTTGACGATAAGTGATTACTGTTAATGCGTTGCAAGATTGAAGGCACGATAAACTAATATCGTTTTGCATAGCTTTCAATAAAATCCTTATCGTGGAAATGTAGTAGATAATATATCACAAAAT